CTTTTGAGGTTGTCATATGGAAACAAAACCAAGCTTCTTGAATTTGGAAATTGCGAAACAGTATATTTCATTGTATTTTAAAGTGTCAATGTGTTAAAGCGAAGTTATGTTATTATTTTTCGAGAAAAAAAGGAACAATATGGTTAATACCACTATTTACATTTGAAATTTTACTGAAAAAAAATGGCTTAAAACAAATTAGTTTAAACGTGTAATGTAACAAGTAATCTAAAAATAAATAACTACTAGATTAATGTTAATAAGCTCATTAAATAAATCCTGATTAAAAGATAACTCAGGTAGGACATGAAAACTTTTTAAGTTATGCTGGAATTTTTCAATTAAAAGACTTACTAACGTTTTTTAAAATAACTATGATTTTGAGTAAAATGAATGGAAAAATGAAGTAAATGGTGAGTATAATATATTATACTATACTAAACGATATATCGTTTACTTAAACAAATTAACAGATTTTTTAACAGGCTGACTCTTTTATACTTTATTTACGATATAAAAATCGCTAAATTTTCTTTCAAAGATTATAATATTATAGAAAAATTTTGGCCACAATCAATACTCCTATTCTCTTTGTGTTTTACTTGACACAGATGTTGGAAATGGTTTTTATGGTCTAGATCTATCGCTCTAAACAAGAGTTTCAAACAGGTATCGTACAACCAATAATTCAGCATAAGAGTCGATGAGAGTTCAGAAAATTTCTGACATTAAGCAAAAGTTCGTCGTGTAGAAGAGGTTTCAATATTATTAGGTACATATTTATCTCAGGTCAGTGGTGGCCCAGTGGTTAAAGGCCCGTCTCACTTGTATGAGAGCGCGTGTTCGATCCTGACAAGTACCAATGTGATTTTTCTAAGTCATATGTACTTTCTGAGAGTATTTAGACACCACTGACAGACGGTGAAGGAAAAACATTATGAGGAAACCTGGACTTACAATTTCACAATTATAAGTTTGAAATCACCAACCCGCCTTGAGCAAGCGTGCTGATTAATGCTCAAACCATCTCCATGCGAGAAGAGGCCTTTGCTCAGCAGTGGGCTCTCATAGGCTGATGATGATGATGATGACATATTTATTTTTCTTAAATTATGTAAATTGGTTTAAAATACTTAATTCAAAAAACATGACATATTTTTGATTAGGTCTTATTTTTCTGATTTTAACAGCGAATAATAAAAGATTATTAAATACAAATATTTTCAGGAGTATAAATGATTTCATACTACAAATTAATGACTGACATTTACTGTTTTTTTATTTAAATCATCAAAGGTAATCTGAAGGATTCGTTTGAATTTATTATTAACAAAAAATCCTTGTTAGGAACTTCAATATTTAGTTTGATTACCAAGCATCATTTAAAGCCTCTTCTTTGCTTAAAGTTTTATTTCATCTCAAATGAAAAATTAAGGAATAATTTTTTTATGACATGACGTTTTTAGTTTTTCATTCCTTAAACGTAATATGGCATGATCATAGCAACTAATCAACCCGCATGTTTCCTAGTGCTTTTTTAAATATTCAAAGCTATTAGCATTAAAACGGAGATGTCAATTTGCACCGTTATATTTTTTCATGTTACATTTTTATTACTCCACATGTCTTAACTAAATAAAAATTTATCTTATTTAAATGTCATGTTCATCATATGAACCGACGTGAACATGAATGATGTGCTGGTTAGATCTTATGGAAAATAATCGCAGTTAGTGAAAACAGGTGAAACGGCAAAAGCACTCACTTCAGAAGTCAAGACATGAGGCAATAAAATGTTAGTTAAATAAGAATAAGAGACTCCTCTATTGTCTTACTAGTGTAAGGTATTCTATTATTAGCGTTATTTATAATGGTACATAAAAACAATAATTTTGTAGTTTTGTTCTATATCTACTCTTATTTAAATACTAAAATTCCTGCCATTTTTGTACCATATAACAGGAACTGCTATTAATTAGAGGTATTTATATAAATATTCATAATACCCTTAGATTGTTTAATGTTTTCACTTTGTCAAAATTTGCGATTCAGCATCACCGAGTGTGTTCAACATACATATAAACTAAACTTTAATATTGAGGACAAAGCTTTCGTGATAACTTTTTTTTACTTTTCATATAATTCCGAACAAACAATAATATTATTTTCTACTTTCTTGTTAACAAAGAATTTATTTAACAGTAATAGCAGTTTTAAAAATAATAATTATTATTTAAAATAAAAATATGGCATTACTATAAATGTAAAATTACTATTGATGTGATAAAATTATAAAGTTAATAATTATAAGGTCTTAAATATGTTATACAGGGTGACTGGTGAATTACTATCGATATTTGAGGACGTGATATTTGACGATCATATATGACAAAATAAAAATTAATATAACATAAATATTAATAAACTTCTAAGTAAAGTTAACCAAAAGTTATGTAATTAATTACGCATCGTGTGAACACCCTACAGATTAGGTATACACTCACACTCACACATACGCGGACGGCGGCGTAGTGTTGTATCAGCACGCAGAAGCACGCGTCCACACTTGAACACTTGGAACGTGTCAACACTTTATTTATTTATACGGAAATTTTGTCAAAAATTAAGTGCCTATTTTTTTTACATAATTCGAATGAGAATCATGTACCGAGTATGCTCCTTAAATATTGATAGTAATTCACCAGTCACCCTGTATAATATACATATATACCAACTGCTTGAATCGCCTTAAAATGTCAAAATAATACTATAAATAGTAGTTGCTGGGACAACAATAACACTGAAAATTCACTTTTACTTCAGATTAAAAACTTTACCGATATACATATAATTCACCTTTAGCCAGGAAATCTTTGTTAATGTATGTTAATTTTAATTAAGTGTACTTTATTTCACTGTCTAATAAAGGTTCGGTGTCAAAACCTACAATTATAAACATTTTATACAAATTATAATATTTACAAAAATGACAATTAAAATTAAGCAAAATATTTTTACAACAATACAATTTTTCTAAGATTGTTTGTACAAATAGTCCGACACTAAAAGAGCGACTATTTTGTTATATCTCAAATATACTTTCTATTTTTTCAATTACCATTATTAACATGGAAAAGAATGTTCTTTGACAACTCCTTTGCTTGTTTCAGATACCTTTCGTTAGAGGTTTTAGTAATATGATAGGAATTAAGTAATAATCGTTTTTATTTATGTATTTATAGTTATAGTTATGTTATTTAAAGCCTGAAGACCTAAAAAACTATGTATGTATTTCTACTAAAGTCATAAGAGTTTATCAATTCTGTATACTAATATATGCATATATTTCTACTTTAGCATTCAATTTCTTTTTATATCTCTTTAAATAGGAATTATAAAACTTAACAAAAAGCCTATATATATCTAGAAAAGAGATGATAAATTAAAATTAAATGCCTTCATATACTTATGTAATATTCCGTTTTACAGAAACAGCTATCGCCTTAAGTGATTCTATATTCAATTACTTAAAGTGTCTATTGAGTTAATTTAAAAGACCGTATCTAAATAGATAATAGGTTACAATTAATATTCAAGATAACTTGTTCAATCAACAGCCATTGGGTATTTTAAGTAGGATATTCATATAATATATTTAGTAGAATCTGTATACGCTACGCAGCTTCTTCCCATAGGTTATTACCAACACTAGTGTACAGTTCACAGGCAGACTATTTCATTATTATATAGATAAAATCTGGTTTAGATCTGTCTGAACAAGCTATATTTTGGATGATCTGGAATAAGGTATTACTAATCTGAACATACTAACTGTAGCATAAAAAAGTAGGAAAACATCACAAAGGTTGCAGACATGAAATATGAAAAATAACTTTTATTAATACTCAATTGCAAAAAAAGGCTTTGGTTAAATTCTGAAGCTTGGTTAACATATATAACTATTGGGTAAACAATGCGTCTTAGTTAGTTGACTTTTAAGTAAGGGCTTTTGAACATTATATCCATGAAATTGTAAAGAAAAAATACATAAAAAATTTAAAAATATAAATGTATTATGTCCATGTGTTATTATTTATAAAATAAGTGCATCGGAATAGCCTAAAGAAAATCTAGCTACGAAAAGCTTCTCATAACTTCGTTAAGGCGTGAGTAAACTTTGATTTTATACACAATAATCGTAAAAGAGTTATAAACATTACACAGTAGTCTCAGTTATTCAATATAAAATCGGAACGTCTACAACATAGACCTGTATTTTATGAATTGATTATCTAATGAGACGATTATAGCAAGTTGCTCTCACTGGTTGTTAAGCTATTGGCGAGGTCAAACCATCTATGTGCAGCGACTCCTTTGATGGGTGACTGCTTAGACGTTTAGCGAGACTCTGATGAGGTTGAGGGTATATGCTATCAATCGAATGTCAGTATCGGATGTTTGGAAATGACTGCTCGTCACGAGGGGCATGTGGTCATAAAAACATTAATGAAACTTTTAATGCGTTACCTTTATAAATAAAAATTACACAATGTATAAAAAATATATAATAGGTATAAACAATAAATATATTATTCGATTAGAACTCCTAATAAAAGTGAAAAGTGATAAAAAATCTTGTTATTGTATCTTTTAAGTTGAAAATAAAAGTAAATATTCAAGCAGTAATACAGAATTTTTGAACGCATATTTCCGCATTTTTATAAACACAAATATTAAGGAACAAAATATTTTTATCACTTTCATTCATTCACATTCTTATATTTGTAGTAGAAGAAAAAAAATAATTGTACAATTAAGATTTCATAAATGAAACTATTGAATTTTATTAAAAAAATATAATAAACTTGATGAACTTTATACTATTCAAAGGATAAAAAATAATTCAAATACATAGTGTAGAAGATGTAGCTGAGACATGTTTCTATGGACTTACATTTTAATTGATTCTGCTGTCTGTCGTACTTGAAATATGTATATGCATGGCATTCTTCGTAGTAAGAGTGAAGAGTGCACCTGGAGATGCAGGTGATTCACAGCTGATGAGTGCAAAGGGTGTTGGCAGCAGTAGAAGCACAGTGGGCGAGAGGGCCGGGGGGGAGCAGATTGAGGCCACTATTTATTCGCACCGCGGGCGCGCACCGACCTGTTGTGATCCCGTCATGGCGCGCTACGCCCGTGTCGCTCCTCTGCTCGCGTGTTTCTTTTTCGCCTGCGGTGAGTCCTAACATTTATCTTACGCCTCCAAATGCTGTCTATTTCGCGACATCACAGGTGATGCGACGTCACATCTGCAAACAAAAAGTGGATGAGTTTAATGCCAGTGTTGCACATAAGTGAACAGTGAAGTTGCATGAGCCGATTGTCGCGAGATAGACAGTGTATCCATTAAGTTACCTAATGAATGCAGCCCAAAGGTGATGTCCTTGCATCAAATAACTCAAAGAATGTAATCAATATAACTACTGCAACATGCCTTTCAAGGACACTTTTAAATGATTCAACTATCATATTATCCATGATTGGACACTGGTGTAGTGATACTGGTTCGTTTGAGTGTTTAATTATATAATTAGTTTTAAGATATATCCTATTGTAATAAAAAATAATAATAAAATCGTGACCTCGACATAATATTCTAGGCATAACGCTTCATAGCTTTTTGTGGGTAGATATAAAATAAACAAATGATTAAACAAATAGTTCATAATGATGCTTTTTAACACTTCCTTCCTAATAAATCGTAAAAGTGTTTGAAGAAATAAATAGTTAGCATTTACTTTTGAGTGCGCATTGTGGTTTCGGCCTGCGGGGAACTTTCACATTCGGTCTGTGTTGCGTTGCGGCTGCGCTGCTGACGTCACGGCCGTCCCGCTTCTGTAATACTAGATTTTTTTTACGATACACGCTTACCTAATGAATATTATGTCTAAATAATGTTAAGAAAACATTAGAAACTGTAACGTAATTTAACGCTTTTACTATTTCCGATTGTCGTACTGGCGATTGCGTACGGTAGCACCTGTAAATTGTTTTTTAGCTTGCTATCAAGGAGCTTTTGTAATTAAGACAAAATTTCTTATATAACGCTGTTTTGAAACCCATTTGATTACGTTATTACAGGCCGTAACACTTAAAGGCTTGTAAGTTTATCCGAGTTAAGGTCAAGGTCGTCAACATTTAGCTCTTAAAAAAGTAAATCTCAGAATTGCGAGGATAGCGTAACACTTACATTCATTTCGGTTAACACTCGTACTTGATAGTATTTTTATATTAATATACTATTTAACTTATTTACTAATTACTTGAGGCATTCGATATATTCAATTCAATATTCTGTTAATGCACTTATGACTTTAAGTCAAAGGTCAGACATATTGAACCTTCTCGAGAATTTACATTCCAAAGAGTTGCTATATCAATACTAATATTTATATATGTAGATTTTTATGAACGATGAGTTAATAATTAAACAAATTGTATATGTCTGTCAACTTTATCTATCAGGATTGCTTTAAAAATGAAGATTATATACTATTATTAGAACAATATCTTATTTTATCTAATCTTATCTTCACGTAATCAAATTTTATACAAAAGTGCAATGTTTTAAAATTGAAAGTTTTAATAAAAAACGCATTCAAGAGAATAATAAAAATCTCTATTTTGTGATATTTCAAACTTAAACAATGGTATGGGAAGATTGCATTCATCTTACATATTCAACACCACAGAGTTGAATAGAGTTATAACGAATCTCACGTTTTGTGTCAGCGTTGTCGAGACAAGATAAGATTGATATTTACACGAACTTCGTGATGTATTGTCGGCAGCCTATTAATAAATAAAACATATACAAAGTCAGGAATTTCGAGAACCCGTGTGATACCATATTTGTAATTATTCCGTTATTAAATCTATTAGTGGAATTCAATACGAGGAAAGTATAGAAGCAGCGCTAAATATTTATGACTTTGACTGATCGGTATGCAAGCTGCGCGCGCGCGGCCGTCGGCCCAGAGTCGTATAACAGTGCATTTGTATGCCAAACTAGACACTGGAATTTACTTTATCTACTTTAAACATTGACTTGAATATTTTGAGCAAAAAATAAGGCATAAATTTTAAAAAACAAACTTGTAATTTGTAAATGAAAACTGAAAGCTCCAGCATAGAAAAAACATCAACGAGTTCTTAAGTTTTGGTTTAACACGGTATATTGAAGTTTTTTGAAAGGTTTTTCAAATGGTTTATGTTAAGGGTGCATCTAATATAATAGCTACATAAACTATCACCATCCAAACACGTGTAGATCCGGGTCATAGAGGACAAGTTCTTATTTATCGTTTCGATGGTGACAACTATTTTTTATTGCGTCATGTTTTATTCATGTGTATGGACACCGAAAACAGAATAATTATTGAAGGTTACTATTCCGTTCGAGTACTCAGTTATTTTATTTTCAAACTCGATGAAATGCATTTTAATTACAATAAAGTTCCTACGTCTTATTGATATAAGCTTAAGATTATTTCAATAATATCCACATTCTTTTCGTTTTTTATTTAGTTTAAGTGTAGTATAATTGTAAATGCTTTTGGTAAGTTATCAGGTTTGATTGCCATACTTTATTATTGCATGATACTTTTTACACAAGTTGCGTATTACAGAGGCAAACGACTTTGGAGACAGGGCTGTAGTATTTCCTGTTCCATTGCAAGGTTACCTCCATGCGTTTCTTATAATTGCAATATCTGTTTTGTTATTTACAAACACATAATTTATTTAGTTTCGTAATTAAAATATAACAATTACTATATAATAAGACCGCATTTATTAATAGGCTAAATTTTTAATGAAATATAAAAGATTTCAAAAGTCGTTATGTTTGTTTGCAAAATCGTTTAGGAATGAGACAGAAGGTTTCATATGTATTGCAAGACGAATAGTTTTGCAATATCCATAAAACATTAGCTATATGAAGATAAGAGAACAATGACATAACTTTGACTCGGTCACACCTTGCTGACATGCCTTAAGAAGTCGCTTGGATTGAGGTAGAGTAATTAGAAGACTTTTTTGATATATTGTTTGACATAATATGTATAACCCTTATTGAATAAATATACTGATAATCTAATTGATAGTCGTAAACTGATTGGATATTCTAGTAATATCTCTCAAATTTAAAGTTCTCTTTAACGAGTTTAAACATGACCAATTATTAAAACACATGCTGTGTTAGAAAAATGTATTTCAAAATGTTGTGAAACTTGTTCCCAACATTTAATAAGCAAATCTCGATTTCCTGATCCATAATTCGCGGTCAAGTATATCAACTATTCCATGACCTTTTTTAAATGATAATAATTTCGACAGACAAGTCGTACAAAAGCATCAAATACCTACCTACTCTGCATAATATAACAATTTGAAATATTTCGAAGAACATAGAAAGAAACGTCCTTGTTGCTAAAGCACTGACATTTCGGCGGTAGTCAAATGTCACGTGTGCTTCTCACCTTTGACATTTCGAAACATCTCCAAGTGACATTTTACCTCTAATAAAAAGACCTCAAAACATCTGCAAATATTTCACCGAATGCTATAGTATGAATATGCTTATTAGTTACGTAACACGAACACCTCTATGTAAAAAAAAAACTGTATACAACTTTCCTTTTCCTTCTTTGACGTAAACCATAAATAAAATGACATCATATCGCTTACAAAGGGATCACATTACGTGCTTGAGGGTAATTTGATGCTTTAATATTTTCAACTTTTATACTTATTGTTTGATTATTGTGTGTAGCGGCCGCTAATAACGGTGCCCACCGTTGGCGTCGTCAGGCAGATGCCAAGAGTGAGGACCAGAATAGTGAGATATGCAAGGACAAGGACGCTAGCGAATGGTTCCGGCTGGAGATCGGCGAGGGCGACGCCTGCCGCAGCGTCATCCAGTGCACCGCCTCGGTCAGTTTTATATGCTATTACAACTTTTACATGCACATAATTGATCAACACACACATTGCGGAAGAATCCTTTCTAAATTTCTTGCTCATTATTTCCACATATAAAATGCCTTTGAATCTTTTTGCATATGTTTAACTTATTGACCTTTCGTCAAATTGAAATGGACATAATTTGCATATTAATGTGTTTGAACTGGTTTTCAAATTTTACAATATTATATTCACGTGACTGTTTTGCTGACAGGGCATCGAAGGTATTAAGTGCCCACCCGGTTTATATTTCGATATTGAAAAACAAACCTGTGACTGGAAAGATGCCGTAAGAAACTGTAAAGTAAAGAGCAAGGAACGCAAAGTAAAACCTCTTCTTTATACTGAGGAACCTCTTTGCCAAGACGGCCTTCTTGCCTGTGGGGATGGCATTTGTATAGAGCATGGCCTTTTCTGTAATGGTGAATTAGATTGTAACGATGGATCAGACGAAAACTCTTGCGGTAAGAATATTTTTTAACAACATTTTTAACTGTATCAATAGTATCATTTTTTTTTGTTTTTTTAAAACCTAATTGTATTCTAAGTACCAGTAGTAACTTGAACAACTAATATAAACTGGCCTATACGCGTGACGAATGACTTGAATGAAATGCCAATCACTTGGCCTAAAAAAACATCTCAATGCTATGTCACAAGTTACCTTAACAACAACAGGGGGTTTATTTTATTTATATTTTCTTGAATATATTAGCATTTTAATTATGTTGCAACCAATTTGTAATGTTGACAAAGTTAAATAGCTGATGAAACGAAATTCTCAAATATATTTCTTATAATGTGAGACATCTTTTTTAAAATTAATTTTATATAAAATTACTGCAATATAGTATTGTTGGTGATAATAACTGGCGTTTATGTCATATTGTGATAGTAGTTGCAGGTTACATTGAACACGCGACTCACTCTACCAGAACAAAGTTTTGTAATTGATTTAGTTGCATATTTCAAAGCGAATTAAGTTAATTAATTGCACAGTTTCATATTTCCCCACTATTCTATTTTAATTCTCAATCAATTCAATTTAATATCATAACCACAATGTTATACATTAAAAAGTGAAATCAAAAGGTGTATCGTTGGGATGTGATCGAGCGAAAGTACCCACACAGGTTTTGCGTCTTATGCCTACTAGCTTAAGATATAATATAGTAGATATATAGCATAGGAATTACACAACAGCTAAGAATTGAAACTAACTTATATCGTAATTACGAATGCACATGTAAATGTTTTCTTTTAGACATCAACAATGACCCCAACAGTGCTCCTCCTTGCGACACATCTCAGTGCACATCACCTGACTGTTTCTGCTCTGAAGACGGAACCGTCATCCCTGGTGATCTGCCCGCAAAGAACGTTCCTCAAATGATAACCATTACTTTTGATGACGCTATTAACAACAACAACATTGATTTGTACAAAGAAATTTTCAATGGCAAACGTAAAAATCCTAACGGTTGCGACATCAAGGCGACATACTTCATTTCACACAAATACACTAACTATTCGGCTGTTCAGGAAACTCACAGAAAGGGTCACGAAATCGCCGTACACTCCATCACGTAAGTTTATATTTCATACGATTATATTACATATGACCTTATATAACAGTAACAACCGTGAATGATTAGTTACCGAATTTCTTAAATTTAATTTTTTTCACAGCCACAATGATGACGAACGCTTCTGGAGCAATGCTAGCGTTGATGATTGGGGTAAGGAAATGGCTGGTATGAGAGTTATTATAGAAAAGTTTGCAAACATCACCGACAACAGCGTAGTTGGAGTTCGTGCACCTTACCTAAGAGTTGGAGGCAACCGTCAATTCACCATGATGGAAGAACAGGCCTTCTTATACGACAGCACCATTACCGCTCCTTTGTCCAATCCTCCTCTATGGCCATACACTTTGTACTACCGCATGCCCCATCGCTGCCACGGTAATTTACAAAACTGTCCCACTAGAAGTCACGCCGTTTGGGAAATGGTAATGAACGAGCTTGACCGTCGTGAAGACCCAAGCAATGACGAATACTTACCAGGATGTGCTATGGTTGACTCTTGCTCCAACATTCTTAGTGGTGATCAATTTTACAACTTCCTTAATCATAACTTCGACAGGCATTACGATCAAAACAGAGCCCCATTGGGACTTTACTTCCATGCTGCTTGGTTGAAAAATAACCCTGAATTCTTGGAAGCATTCTTATACTGGATTGACGAAATCCTTCAGACTCACGATGACGTATACTTTGTAACCATGACTCAAGTAATCCAATGGATTCAAAACCCACGTTCTATTTCTGAATCAAAGAACTTCGACCCATGGCTAGAGAAGTGTTCCGTAGAAGGTATCCCAGCCTGCTGGGTGCCTCACTCTTGCAAACTTAACTCTAAGGAACTCCAAGGTGAGACCATTAATCTTCAGACATGTCTCAGATGCCCAGCCAATTACCCATGGCTCAATGATCCAACGGGTGAAGGTCATTATTAAATGAGATCTCGCGCCAAGTGAGGTGCAAAAATTAGTGGATAATATAAATTGCAACTGACGATTGCAAGGACATTATATTCGGGTAATAAATGCTATACTGTTTTTGAATTGAATTATTCGATGTACGTAGCTTTGAATATATGTCCGTGTAATTATAAATTGTACTGGGTCATAATCCCGTCTGTAGTCTAAGTACCTACCTAACTATATGTAATATAGACTCACATGATATTTAATAGGTCTGTTTTAATACTATATGTGATTTTCTATTGTAAGTCTGTTGGATAAAATTGAAATACAAAATAAAAAAATTACATAAATTTATAACTTGATTGTTTTTCTTATGCTTTTTCTCTTTTGATTTTAAAACTTAGCCTCTAAGAGCTTTGGGTCGGTATGAAGTGTTTGAAAGGCAAAATTTTCCACGTCTAGAGGCGGACGTGAATGTCTTGCGTGGCATAAACATCCACGATGTAGTATATTAATTATTCAATCATTGCAGTCATGCTCATTATTTCTATCTGTACCTCTCGGTATTTATATCCATTCACTTCATGTAATATTTTTAAATCTTATTATTTTCCTATTATATAATCAAGTTTTTAGTTCACCTACCATGTGATTCAGTCAAGAATAAATAAAATCGATTCTCACGTTATCTTGATTACATAAAAGTGTTTGATTTACATAAAAACAGGTTTGCGGTAGCCAATAGTACAATATCATTCGCAAAAATAGGTTCGAATAATTTGCTCAGGCAATTTAAATTCATTCAATGTTCATTTTGTTCGTAAAACTATTGAAGGACGACAATAATTTTATGTCTAATAATTCACTGGAGTCTTAGTTTTGCATAAATCTTGCTAGTAGTTGAAAACGTTTCGTACAATACGACAAAATGCCAGTTAAAAGAATTAACGGAAATGTATGGTTGAGTATAGTCAATTTATTGTTGCCTTGATATTTATTTAAACGTTGAATCAATAAACGTAGAACAACAAAAAAACTTTAAGCTGTGTATTCGTAATGGTTAATTGTTCTTTAGTGAGTCAGTTGAACAAAAAAGGCTAAAGATGTCTTCCTTCCTTCTCCCATATTAACTCTGCATATCTGCTTATAATATTTGAATTGAAATCAAAGTAAAAGAACAGTAATTTCAGAGACTTATTTTTGTAAGAACAAAGGTTGTGATTTGGTAGTATTGAACAGTTAACAGATTAACAATATCAATCACCCAGATAAAACTACTGATGATGAATACCATTCAAATTACTACACTTTAAATGTGCAATGGACGTTTTCAAGGTTTTCTTGTATTTATATTTAAAACGTTATTTTATTAACTTCTAGTTTCATACAACTTTATTGTTTTATTTATTGGCTTTATTTATTAATAAAATATTTCATCGACCATTCAATTTGTTTTATTTTATACTACATACTTTGTCGCCAGAAACATTTAGTAGCAATCCTTTCAAAAACTTAAGTTTAATACATTCACGAAAACAAATAGACAACCAGGCACAATGGAAATTATAAATTATAATTTGCTAGTGATTCATACATTCCTACATGACTTACTAATTCGAAATGCGAAATTATTGGACTTCTTTAATTGTCAATAAATTTCTGGATCATACCAATATTCAATTCCTCACCAAAACATCTGTGACATTTTGTAACATTCTGTACTGACAACTTGTTGTAAGTTTTAAGTACATTCACATATTAGATGCTGTTTTTAGCTTTAAAAGTAAAGGTACAGGTATTGAAGTTTGGCATCATGTAACAAATTGGTATGGGTTCAGATTTATGAGATCGTGGCACGGAACTTATAAGGGGACCTTATTAATTTCGCTGTCATATCAGTTTCCTGTTTTTATAAATCATAAAACATTTACATATAATAAGTAAAAATTTTCTTTACCTTGTAAAATCGTGTCCGCTGTAGGTGATGCAAAATATGCGGAAATTAACTCCTTTTAAGGGCTTTAATCAAGTAATTATTTAAAATAAATTAACACTCTTTCTGTTTTTCAATTCTTTTCGTAGTATTTTTGTGTTATGAAATTATGTGTTGCTTATTAGTTATTGTGTCATCACGACGAATTGACCTTAACATCGCACAACCAGTTCAGAATTTATCTGCAGAAAGCTAAAAAACTTAGATTATTAATTTGTCTTTTTTATAAACACTTTTAAGTAGTACTTAATATGTATAATATTTATTCAAAAAATATAAACTTATATAAGTATCGTGATCCAATGCGTGTAATTTATTTAATGTAATCAATCATATGTTTTTGCAAATTATATATAAGCACATTTGTTTTATTGTACTTCTAATTACACAGCTAATATGAAACTTCCGTTACGCTGTAATTCCGATTCATCTAGTATATTAACTTTGTTTTCTAATGAGCTCAAACATATTATTTTGTACTGTTTAACCAAAAAAATAAGAATAAAATGGTATTCTTGTAATAATCATATACAATATTACAATTATAATAAGCAAATTCCTATAGAGTACAGATATGCTACAGAAACACGCAAATTGAAAATAAAATCAAATTGAAACTTTTGTTGTTAGTATAAAACTCTTACGTTGATTTTATCGAGCAAATAACTTCCATAAATGTAAGAATTTCTTAATATATTGAAATTGCTTTGCAATCATAAAACTCCGACAGAAATGAAGAATTTTATATCAATAGAAATTTATTTCTTTATAGAGTTGTTTTTTTTTGGTCACCGGTAATGTGTAAATTATTAAATAAATTACTTAACGACTACAACAAAAACAACAATAATACAAATTCTATCATCGCGCACAATCGACCAATATTTGACAGACTTCAATAGTTTTTTATATAATTATACGCCACAAAAACAACCAGTACTTAGTATTATCATTGACTAATCATGTAACAATAATATTAGATTCATAATAATGTGTACGCAACAATGGAAACAGACAATAGCCATGGGATCCACCAACACGGCGTGTCTCCGGCTCGACGCCTCCCTGGCTGACACATCGACCTCCACGTGGGCGGTTCGTTGCACATCATCACCATCGATAGCACATCTGTATACAACAATAACTTTCCATTTAATTTTGCAACGTGTGGAGTAAATGGATACAAAAATAAGGACAATCGCAATCAATAGGTATTGTTTGCACCATCAAAACAAATAGAGAGTTAGTTGAGTATGTATAATAAAAATTGTAAATGTAAAGAAGCCAATGCAGATGGTGAAAGCAGTGAAAGTCATCGGGCAGAGCGGGCAGTCGTGCCATTATTTATTTGAAGCCACTTCTCAAAAACATGATATTACGTAAGGGTGAGACTCGTACAATAATACAACTCCCGTAGATATAACATTTAAACGGATAAATATGTTAGTCGAATACATTTTTGAGTCAGTACGTTTACGAAATAATAAACGAGAATTCAGTATCATAAAAAATTGTTTTGAACATGCATATCGTACAGGTAGTAGTGCATTTTAAAAACCCAAATCGTCTGAGTATGTTGTTTCACAAGGTTAAATTGGCCAGCTAATAACAAAACGTTTTCCTTGTTGGTTCAAGTCGTCGGGGAAAAATAAGACAAGATTATGGGTTCATTCTTTCATAACACTTCTCTGAAGTATTCATAATGTTATTGTAAATGCGAAAGCAAGTGTCTGTCAATTCGTCTGACTATCTTTTCGTTTTGACCTTTTCACGGCTAAGCGACACGAACGATATTTAATATGAAAGTAGACAAAGTGTCAAGGAAGAATATGATTTTCTAACAAAATATAGTTATTAGTAACTTAAAAATAAAGCTAATAATAATAAATTGATACTTTATTAAAAACTTGTTCATTAATTAAACTAATTTTAAGACCATGAAGAAACTCATCCACTGTTGTGGTGAGGCTACGCTGATTAAAATTGAAAATAAATTATTAGTAATGAACACTAGTACGTATAGTCGTTGGCCTTATTAATAATATAAAATTACCTACATATATACTAGCTACAGCTATACGTTAGATACATAGGTGTGTATGAATTGTCGCAAGTGAAAGGAAATATGTTGAAGGATCCTTGACTGCTGCGCGCCTACTCGCCGCCGCGACGCTCGTTGTCATTGTGATTGCGTTGACGTGCCTTTACACGGCGCATCTCATTCACTTTATTTTTAACTCGTTATAACCTTTAGACGCAACTTCATATACTATATACATATATAGAAACAGAGAGAAAAGCAAATCATCGGGTTTAATCTATAAAGTATAAACTATATGTCGAATGATAATGAACTTCAAAATATTTTAATACATGTGTTTCGTTATATTAATCATTAAAAACTACATTATTTATATGTTAGTTCGTAATGATATAAAAAATAAAATGACCAAGAATCAAAATTTCAACCTCTACACTTCACAACGTAATTACACCTTCTACTTCTACGAATGGCAATGTCTAGTTTATGTCTTGTGTTCCGGATTCGCTTCCACGTTTTTTTTTATCCGACATCGTTTCCTTAATTGAAAGTGTTTTAAGTCCAATCATATAAAGAGCATGCATGTATGTATGTATGTATTTTATATCATTGTTTAGGCATTTATAACGGCTATACTTTCACGTCGAATTCTAATTGCGTAACTTTCCGAAGATTTCCAGTTTCCAATATGCAGTTACGTGCACAATAAACGAATGTTTCTCATGATACATCTAACGTGTGTTGAAAAATTATATAAATTATTATTACAAATCTGGTTGGTTCCTTCCAAGGGGCTAGTTTGTCCACATCGGTCATATGTTTTGACCACATTTAATATTCCTCTGACCTTTGAATAGTTCAGTAGGTAACTAATTAATAATTTATGCTCTCCGAATAGAATAAAATATTTCTTAAATGTTAAAAATTTACATTAAAAATAACACGATATGTAGAAATGGTCTTTGTAAATGAAAAAAAAAACACATAAAATATATAAACAGCATTAAATCGGTTTAAGTCTCAATAAACTACGAAATATGACGCAATGAAGAAGCTATTGATATTATGGAATTTCATACAACAAAATTTAAACTAAAAATATTTTTTATTTTTAATCACTCGTTACATGTAAAATAGATTTATAGAATTCATTTTGTAATTCCAAATCAACTTCAATAACATAAATTGTTTATTATATATTATTCAAACAATTTTGAACCCAATACATAATAACAGTGCTTAAATTATTTAAGAATAATAAATGTTTAACAAGTATCTGTACGGTATAGCTGTGAGCAGTCGTCGACCTGGCTTAATATTCTCGAACCTCCTCAAAACACTTGAACGCAACTTATAAATACAAGTACATAGGTACTGTAGTACATGAGTAGCTCGTTGAACTCTAATATACGCGACGACATTATACATATTAACCGTTCATTTCTGTGTATTTAAATATAAATATTATTAATCCTTTCATTTGAAATAACAATAACAAATAAAATGACAAAAAAGTAACACTTGAACATATTACCAACACTCAAAACTTATCAGTTTTGAGTGTCGGTCAAAATGAATTTTAAATTTCGAATGGAGTCATTTTAGACAAAAAGTTAGCTTGTATTTTATATTGTTAAGTCTAGCTTGGCAAGACGTATTACTTTCTAATACTCAAACATTGCATATGAATACCTCCTTATACAATATACATTTCATGCCGTATGCGCCATGTTTTCTATAGACGTATAATCATTCATTTATTTCACTAACAACATACCATTAAAATGTCTTTCTTCGATCACTTTATTTATATTCATTTCGCTAATAAATTTCGATAAAAGTAATAAAAAACATATATATTTGACGATTAATTAAACTTGCAATTTAATAGTATACATGACCTATTGCGAATACAAGTTTTACTATCAATTTCTTAATCATTTGTTTAGTATCAAAAATGTCAGGTCAAATATTTAGGTCTCGTGTCAACATTGAGCTAATAACGCCGCCATATAACAAGTCGAGGCGGTGCCACTCCGAGCTTGCCACGGAGCCCGTCGTCGCCACAGTACTTGTGTTACATAACGAGATACACCCGGATATTGTCACAAGGCCACTCATCCTCTAACAAATAATTACTTGCACTTATATTGTTTTTATTCAAGGAAACATATCTGTTAATCTACTGTAATGGAGCTATAGCTTTTTCTTATTATAATTTTTTTCGCTTTGAGTCTTAAACAAAAAAGTAGCTGCATGGACCTATAACTTTTTCTTTGGATTTTTTTTTTCACTGTGAGTCTCAAATAATAAAATAGAAATGTCTCCCATTTAAAACTATTCTTAGAAAATTAATATATATATATTTTTTTGATAACGTATGTAGTGGAAACTCTTTTTACGAACCGTCCAACCGGCCTTGATGGGTATTAATATATACGATGAACTTAGTTTCATAGAAACAAACTTTTTATTGTCAGCAAATCATATTACAACAATATACCCTACTATATTTTAACTTAAAGAAAATCATACTAAAGTTTATCTACATTAAACGCTTTCAAACATTGTCATTGATAGTTTTGGTGGTAGTGGAAATAAAGAAACATGGAAAAGTTGTATAAAGAAATAGTCTATTAGCTTTTATGGTAAAGAAATAAAATTCTATAACTCCAAAGAAACGGTGAACGTAGTAAAACGAATAAATTATAATATTTACAATATATCACGTTAGCTTTTAAATGCTTCGTCCTTCATTAGTATAATATAAGCTAATTATGTAAATCAGAATACAATTTTGGTTCTTCTCTCTACATTTATATGACATTGACATAAATTTAACAAAACAGGTACAGACGATGATCGAAAGTGAATCTTAATAGAGTTTTCTTACCGCTATGTTAATCAACTAGACACATTATATGTTATTTAAATTATATATAATAATGTGATTTAATTACATATTAAATATTTATTATTAAAAGTAAATTTAATTGTCTATGTTTTACGATGTAACTGTGGTAGCTAGTTTTATCTCATTATCCTATGAGTAATTTCGAATGCTATTCAAATACAAAAGTAAGAGTAATGCACAGAGGTTGTCAAATTATGTGCTAAATCTTTATAAAGTGTTAAACGTACTTTCTAAACAAACCAACAAAATTTAGATAGTTTTATAATAGGTATGTTCAATTAGGATTTATCTTTCTATTTCTTTTGTCTACATTCTATATTTTTCTTTTAAAAATAATGAAATTTAATCGAAAATGTGTCACAAAAAGAATCACTTATTAATAGTTTCACATATTATTGATTTAGTTGAATTTTAAAATTAATATTTTTTGTAGTCGCTTAGACCCAAAGGTCAGACGATCACTGTATATAATTACGATAATTTTTTTCCAGTTTCTCATCTATTTATGTATTTATATATTAAGATTAGACACACATACGAGAACATTTACACACACATAATATCTATCTTAGAACATACAAGTTTAATAGCTATTTAAAAATTCCTAACTGGTTATTTAAACTCGAGAAATGAGATTTTTAAATTTATTTATTTTAATTAAATAAAATGTAAATCTTTTTTATCCATCCATGTCACAAGAATGAAAAATCGAATGGCCATCTATCCATGTCAACCGAATGAAAAAATAATTTAAAAAGTGAAATATAAGATTTTCGCGAGTACTCATTTAAATGAAACTAATATTTTCGGATTTACTACGCGTTTTTATTTTTGACTATGAACTAGACTACACTAATATACCTACCGTGATCAAGGTTGCTGAAAGTAGCCAAAACAGCGGGAGTATGTAGTTAGTAGTCAAAAATAAAAAATCGCGTAGTAAATCCAAAAAAAATATAGCTACATTTTAATTTAAAAAGTGTTTAAGAATCGATAAAATTATTAAGGCTAGTATATCAACAAAAATATCCTTAAAAACATGTTTAAATACTAAATAGGTTACATATACAACTGATAATTAATTAAAAAAATCTAAATCATATGCAGTCTTCCTGATGCAGTTAAAATTTATCCTTGATTAGTTGTAATTCATTTATGCACCATCTCAATACATGTTTGTCTTCAAGTCTATTTCAAGTTAGCTTCAGTTAAATGTCATTAATGGATATTTGTTTATTTAATGGATGTTTAGAAAGACGGTAATTCTAAAGTAATCATAAATTTAAAGTTTAAAGACCTTTCCAAATAGCTTAAACATACATTACGTAAAGTAATGAGTTTTGCTCAAACAATGTGGGTATACAGAAAAAAATCCATTAAAACGAAATTTGAAAATAATAATAATATCATACAAATAATTATATATGTGTTACAATTCTAATTAGTTAATTTAATTAACATATTACATTTGAGTATGCTTTGTGTCGAAGAGCATGAACCGTGTGCTTTTTATAAGCTGCGCGGTTGTAGTGATGTGTTATAACGGCTGGAGGTACAGTGCGTATAGGACGGGCGGAGTCTCTCCGCTGTTGTCGAGGCTTGTTGGTTATATAAATAGATAAAGAGGGGCAGTAGGCACCTCTTGCACTTTCTTGTGGAGCGAGACGCACCGGCCAGTCTTCGCCGAGCGCCATGGCTCGACACGCGTACCTTATACTCGGGGTACTACTCCTTGCCTACTCTGGTGAGTTTAATTTATTTAAAATATATATTTTTTTTATTTAATCTATCATAGAATATAACAAAAATATTACAAATCTATCACAAATTACGTAAATATTTTTTTGGATTTATATTTGCAATAAATTTTAAAAATAAATTTATATATATTTGAAAATTTTTAGACGGTATATATTTATTTAAAATTTAAATTTATTTAAAAGTATTATATAAAGTTAAATTATAAATCCGGTTATTATTTGAATATTTTTATGCATAATATTACGTAAATATAAGGCCTACTTTTGAAATGTTTAAAATGAGCTTATTATTATAATAAGCTTACGTAAAGATATTTAAACATGGAATGAGAAAGAACACCGGTTACTTACGTGGCCGGCGTTGACCTCGATTTCTTTTCAACGTTTTACCTTTCAATGCCGTTAGTGACTCGATTGTTGCCGACGCAATTTATTTTTATTTCTGAATAATAATTATATATTAAATAATATTATTATTAATAATAATCTTAAATGTCGCCTTCGACACAACTACATTTTACGCCGAACTGAAACGGTACAACATTCCAACACAGGCGTTTGGTAATCGTGGCTTACGTTAAGCTGTTACTCAACAAGCGTGTTAAGTTGCTATAATGCTATGGCTTCATACCTAATTTAAAATGCAACAGTTTGTAATGAAGTACAATAAAAAATACATACGTGTAGTTAATAGGACAAAACATTTTTTTTTTTTAACTACCGTCTTTATTGTTTTCACTATTTTAATCGAATAAAAGTTTCTATGGCAAAAATTTATTGCAGAATGATAATTTTTTTATATAATATTTTTCAAACAGTTAGGGCACAAGATGATGATAACGGTGATGATGAACCAAATGCTGAACAGCTTTGTGACGGACGTCCTGGTGATGAATACTTTAGATTGTCTACCGAAGGCGACTGCCGAGAAGTAGTACGGTGAGTGAATTAAACAAAGAAAACAAAACAAATCTTATTTTTATTATATATTAACACATTAAACAGTATAAATCTTTTAATGAATAAATCACTTAAAGATGAAGGTAAGATATTTGCGAAGGCTGTTTAGTTAAAGCAAATAATTAAATGCACTCCATTGGTATGCAAGAACTTGATATTCCAGCCAGTGAACGGAACGGTCGCCGCTGTGACTTGAATATTAGTCATAGTTTTATTTGGATTTCTTAAAATATAACAAAGGCTCTATGAATGCCTTATACACAATTTATAACTTTTTTCAGACATTGTTTTCAGGGAGGTATATTTATATATTACTGTAAAAATATTTTATTTAAATAAAAAACAAATCATTAACGAACTTGTTTTTTAATGACTTAAGTTTCTAAGTGTAGTTTTGTTTATGCACTAAACAATAAACAATGAAAGTGAGATTCTCCGTTGAAAGTATGGCTGTGTACAGGTGTGACAAAGGAGGTGAAAATGGCGTCACAAGGCTCGCTTCAGTGCGCTGCCCTGGTGGACTAGCATTCGATATCGACCGCCAGACATGTGATTGGAAAACACATGTTAAGAATTGTGATAAACTAGAAAGTAAGTTTCGCCAATAACAGGGAGTGGTCGTGCGAAGGGCTAACATCCGACTTGACATTTAATGTCGGAAAATTCCAGTATCGTTGGTCTTTCGTGCGCACACTTCCTGATTCTATACATAAATTAAAGATGTTATTATTCTTATCGACGCAGGTGCACTAGGTCAGGTCTTAAACAGATCACATGCCCGTCTGGACTGTCTTTCGATCTTGATAAACAAACCTGCGACTGGAAGGGTAAAGTGACCAACTGTGACAAAATTGAGAGTAAGTGCGATAAAAAGTTTTTCGCGAGTAGGCAGCAATCCGAGCTTTGGTGTGAGGCCGCGTCGCACTGTAGATTTGGTAAACTGCATGAGTCCCAGGACTAAGGAAACCGTCCACAACAGGAGAAAGCACTATTTACACAATAACATAACGTAGAAAAACACATTAGATGTTATTTTTATAAAAACACTAATGTGATTTTAAAAAAAAATTAAACTTGTTTTCTTGTACTCTTGTAATTTATATGGAAACTTCCAATTCAACAATAATTTTCTATTTCATTGTGGATAAAATATTCATGATTCATTTACTACACAAAACTTTTGCAATTCTCTTTCTATTGCTGATGCTTTTCATAACTTTATCTACTAACATAGCTTTCTACAAATTCCTACTAATATTTTCTTAGCCCTTTTAACTGAGTACTAAGCTTTGGAAACTGTTCAACTCTTTAAACTCCGCTTAATCACGTAAATCTGTATCATACAATAATGCTTCTCTAATATACATAGGTATTTGGTAAAATTTGGATTTTTACTCTATCAAGTCAATGGTTACTTGGTTACACAAAAAAAGGAACAAGATAATAATACAACGGATTAAAATTTAAAATGAGAATAAAAAGTGTAACCACGTAAACATTACATTCTAGTCATTGTTTCTTTTCTTATACATTACTGTTTATCATTGGTATTGTTTACTTTTCCTTTTAACATCTTAAACTACAATATAGCATATAAAATGCTATATATTGTAAAAAGTAGTCATCTCAAATGTCTACCTCTAAGCTCATATTCAAATTTCGTTTCTATTGTAACGGGATTATCTTTTAATTCAATAACTAAGTCTTTCCCTTGTGACTAATAGATTTTGAAACTCTGTTTCTCTAAAAAGCCCATCTATCCTTCATTAATACTTCTTGTGACAACGCAACCACTTCATCTTTCTACACGAAATCTTTTCACTCTTATCACTTCTTATAATGAACGAGACACAAATAATGTAGTCATACACAGCAAGAGCAATCGAAAATAGATACTGAGTTGGTCACTTTGAAGTCCTTTTACTTTTTTTTCTAGCGATAAGACACGACGTTTCTACGAAATTGTTCAAGGCTATGCATATTAACTTGAGATATGTATTTCAGAACCAAGAAAAATTCTGCCCATCCTTAAGACTGATGAACCAATCTGCTCTGAAGGCAAGCTTGCTTGCGGAAGTGGTGACTGCATCGAGAAAGAATTATTCTGTAACGGAAAACCAGACTGCAAAGATGAATCTGATGAAAATGCTTGCAGTAATTACTTTTTATTTTAAACGAATATTTACTTTATAATCTATATCTATAAAAACTGTGAAACATTTCAAAATCAAATCATTTAATTATTTTAATTTATTAACATGTATTTTATTTGACAGCCGTCGATTTGGACCCCAATAGAGCACCAGACTGCGATACCAGCCAATGTAAACTTCCCGACTGCTTCTGCTCAGCTGATGGTACTCGTATCCCCGGAGGCTTGGAGCCTAGTCAAGTCCCTCAGATGATCACAATCACCTTCAACGGTGCTGTAAACGTTGACAACATTGACTTGTACGACCAGATCTTCAATGGAAACCACCAAAATCCTAATGGTTGTCAGATCCGCGGTACCTTCTTTGTCTCCCACAAATACAGCAATTACGCTGCTATTCAGGAATTGCACCGTAGAGGACACGAAATCGCAGTTTTCTCAATCACACATAAAGATGATCCTAACTATTGGACCAGTGGCAGCTATGACGATTGGTTAGCCGAAATGGCTGGAGCGCGTCTTATAATTGAACGTTTTGCTAACATTAGCGATGCTTCTATTATTGGAGTAAGAGCCCCATACTTGAGAGTTGGAGGAAATAAACAATTTGAAATGATGACTGACCAATACTTTGTATATGATGCATCTATAACCGCACCTCTAGGTCGTGTCCCTATCTGGCCTTACACGTTATTCTTCCGTATGCCACATAAGTGTAATGGAAACGCCCATAATTGTCCCTCAAGGAGTCACCCAGTCTGGGAAATGGTTATGAATGAACTTGACAGAAGAGACGACCCAACCTTTGATGAATCTCTTCCTGGTTGTCACGTAGTGGACTCTTGTTCAAACATTCAAACTGGAGAACAATTCGCGCGTCTTCTTCGTCACAACTTCAACCGCCACTACACGACCAACCGTGCCCCTCTTGGTTTCCATTTCCATGCTTCTTGGCTCAAGTCAAAGAAAGAATTCAGAGATGAACTTATCAAATTTATCCAAGAAATGAGTGAAAAGAACGATGTTTACTTCACTTCTCTCATTCAGGTGATACAATGGATGCAGAACCCCACAGAACTGTCCCAACTCAGAGATTTTGCGGAATGGAAACAAGAGAAATGTGACGTAAAAGGTCAACCATTCTGCTCTTTACCAAATGCGTGTCCTTTAACAACCCGGGAATTGCCAGGCGAGACACTGCGTCTTTTCACCTGTATGGAATGCCCTAATAACTATCCCTGGATCTTAGATCCCACGGGAGAGGGCTTCAGCGTTAGGAAGTGATCTCTTTTAAGTAGAATTTAAAAAGACTGTACACATGTAAATAATACTCAATAATGTAATAAATACAACTACGTGGCAGGAAATCCGTGTCAATTTAAATAAAAAAATTAAGTGTTTTCATACCATACTTAAGTTGACATTTCATGAAACTTTATATTTATAAATTACTCGAATAAGTCTTGCTGCTAAACTTAACCATGAATTTAGACGAACTTAATGTTACATTAAGTAATGTAGGTTGTTACAATCTTATTGACATTAATAAAAAAATATTGGAATAATTGCACATTTTATTTATTTATTTTATCAATTCAAACCTCCAGGACTGACTAAACAATCATGATGCATGATGATACCAATTGATAATGTAGAACCTTTTTTCATACATACTCAAGCGTAGATCATAAAATCAATCTTTAAAACACCGGTAAATAAAAATATAACAATAAGTTGCTATAATTGGAAAATGACTGTATATATTTTTTACTCCCACATACTTCTAAATAGCAGTGAACACAATAAGCAATAGAGCATAACAGTTTGGTCTAATATTATGTCAAGGCAAACTTGTAATATTTAATTAATTTGCATTTGTTTATGATTATATTTTAAAGGATAATTAACTATTTTAAATAAGAAAAACATGATCTAAATCGTTGCTCAATCACTCATTTCTTAGATTTTATAAATTATGCAATAAAATATATAATAACCTTTTATTTTATTTTATAAAATGTACAATATTTAGTTAATGATTTTTACATCTACACAAAGTTATCGTCATAAAATATATTTATGGAACGCTACACAGAACAAAATATAAGCCAAATGGTGGCCTAGTGGTTAATAGGCCCGCCTCTCATGCACGAGGGCGCGGGCTCGATCCTGGCCCGGGCAAGTACCAATGTGCTTTTTCAGAGTCATATGTACTTACTAAGAGTATTTAGATATCACTGATTAATGTATTCCCAAAAAGAGGGTTGATGTCAGGCAGACGGCCGGTCGTAAAAACAATTAGCCAAAACTAATTACAACATGTTCTGTGGAAAAGAACATGTTGTGCTGACCCTAAATAAAGTGGGATCAGGGTAGGAAAAGGCTAGACAGAACAAAATATATTTGATATGCTGCAGCTCGTGATGCTGGTTTACGTGTAATACGTTTCATCACACGAAAACAAATTCATATTTTTTTCATTTGTATGGCTTCATTTAAAAATTTATTCGTGGAAAATTTTGCAAATAACATTGTATTTTTTTGTACAAAAATAAATAAAAAAAAATATATAGTAATAATAGTATAATATAGTGATGGTATATGGTGATGGCAGTATGACCTAATATCTTAGCCTGTCCAAAAGGACGAATAGACAAAAAATATATTACCTATGACTGTCAAGTGTCAATTAGTTATGTCACAATACTGCTTATTTTATTATTCTTATCAAGTAAGAGTACTGTTAGAGAACAGTAATTATTTATAACTTATAAGTGGGAATGATTCCTCTTGTATAATTATAAGAACAAAGTACTTTTATTGCATATCCGTAAAAAATAATTTCGATACCTTTGTGAACACAGAATTTGTAAATATGACTTGGACGGTGCGATCTTGGCTCTTTATTCAAAGAGGGCTGCAAATCTCTAGAAATATGTGTTCTTTGCCTTATAAAGCCGATTTAGAAATTTTCCAAGAACAACAACAACAACAAGTCTCAAAAAATGTTAACAAAGATTTGTCTGACATTACACCATACTTTCCAATATCATTTAATCTTGCTGCATATGTAAACCAATCTGAAACGTTACAAAATCTTATAAATCTTAATGTTAACCTCAGTAAAATTGAAAAAAAGCCTCACGTAGCTTACAAAATATTAAAATTGGATTTTGAGAGAGACATAAAGAAATCCATCCTATTCTTAAAAGATTATGTAGAAATTGAAAAATTGGGAGATTTTATAACTAAAAATCCATTAATATTATGTGAATCATTAGACGACTTGGAAGTTAGAATAAACTATTTAAAGTCAAAAAAGTTTAATGACATTCAATTAAGGGAAATTATCACAAGAAATCCATTTTGGTTGATGTATAGGTAAGCATAATAAGGACTTATGAAAAGATTAAATCAAATTAATAAAGTTAAATAATTAACTAATAAATTACTGATTTGTGACCTTTTGCAGCACACTACGAATAGACAAGCGACTCGGTTTTTTTCAACAAAAATTTAATTTATGTGGTAATGAGGTTAGACAATTAGCGACCATGGCACCCAAAATAATAACATACAACCTGCACCATATAAACACAAATAACTTTGTGGTCAAAGAGGAACTTGGATTTAGTGATGCAGAAATAAAACAATTAATATTATGTAAACCTAAGATATGGATGATAAGTAAGTTTTATTACAATTAAAACAATAATTGTTTGTCATTATAAATCATTGCTTATAAATATTAATTTTATTTAAAAAAATCCATTTATTTTAAAATATTTTCTTGTATAAACATATAGAATTAAGAACACATGATACAAAATAATAATCTTATTAATTTACATAGAATATAAATACAATGTGCAATTTAAAAAGGATTAAAACAATATTTCCTGTATTCTAATGAGATAGTTGTTTTTTAACCTTAATTTTACATTAACAATATTTTACTGTGTGCTATGAAAAATTCATTAATTTTTTGTTGCAGATCAAAAAGCTTTGGTACAAAGATTCCAGTACATTCACAATGAAATGCAAATTCCTCATAATACAATACTGCAACAGCCAGGAATATTATTGTGCAGAAATTTTATAATTAAACAGAGGCACAGCTTTTTAAAAAGTTTAGGAAGAGCTCAATATGATCCTACCAAAGAAAATTATGTTCCCATACCGGCATTGTTTAAGGGAACAGATATAGAATTTTGCAAGGACTATGCAAAATGTACAATAGATGTTTACAATACATTTTTAAAAACATTGTAAATTAAAAGTTAACCAGCTTTACCAAGGACGACTTTGTTTTGAAATGCATTAAGTGAGTGATACAGTAGGGTATCAAAAATTCCAGCAACAGTGAACACTCCACCCACAATTGCACAGACATTTGTGGCAAAGTGGCCTATAGACCTGCAATATTAAAAAATATTTAATAACTCTCAACAGAAGTATTACTTTTCATTTCTCATTTTTATGAAACAAACCTTTCTTTTGCTGTATATTTAACCATGAGTGGTGACAATTCGTAACTGAAGAATGCACCTGGCATTCCAGATTCAACATTTATATTGGATACTGACTTCTGGTGTCTTGTCACAGAAAACTGATTTGTATGTAAAATGCTACCATCCAGTTTTACATACATAGTTGGAACTATTTTTAAATAATACTGAAACATAACAGCACCTGTAACAATGCCAAAAACATTTTAGTACTTCTTTTAACAACAAATCCAAGCAAAATAATTAAATAGTCTTCAAATTAAATTGTTTTTAAATAATCTCTATATATAAACTCCTATGAAATTAAACCATTCTTTATTTAAATAAATATTTAGAAGAAACCATACAACAACATATTTGTGCGGTTACTATTACCAATTTGAAATGTTGTTCTTTTAAATTTAGAGTTAATATTAAAATTAAATCGAAACCACATTGCACATATTTCAATTGATTCCATTCTACACATTCAGTGGTCTGCAAAACATGTTCAGGTACTAGTGTGCAAACTGGTAAAAAAAAGATGTCATTCCTAAAGTTTAGTTTGATATCCTTATATTACTCAATAATTTATTATCCTTGGATATTTCATGGTTTTCATTAAAAAAAATCATACAAAGATTCTACATTATGTCTATTGTAATTTATTAACTACTACCTGGCAAAATATACTTTATAATATTTTCGCGCCGGATTAAAGATCGGCTTAAAAATATAGAATATTCTCGACATTGAACGGCAACGCCATCTCCTGACGAGTCCAAGAAGCTATTAGCTATACCTTTGCTATAATATTATAAAGGAAATTATATATAGATATTCCAAGTACATACATAGTACATGTTTTCTTAAATTCATAAAATTATTTTTCTTTTTTTCCAGTTCACTCCTTAATTATATTCTAATGTTTATTAATTTATAAGTGGATTCAATATGACTATTTGTAATATGTTTATTTATTAACCCTGTTAGATGTCTATTCTTATACAAAGGAGTTTATAAAAAAAAAACATTATTAATTATGTCAATTGTACTTATAATAGCTGATTGGTCATGATTAGGATTAACTATATATTATATTACCTCACTATCATAATTTTACGGAATTAAATAAACCACATCAATGTATGAAAATTACTGGCACTCAAAAAAAATAACAAACAAACTGAAAACATTAAAATTTCAAGGCTGATAATAATCAATATCCAGAGATCATTATAACATTAAGTATTAAAAAATCTACATAGGTATTCATATATTCATAGTAAATAACATTTTTTTATTTTCTATACAGACAACAGTTTGCTCTCCAATACGAAAATTGTATAGTAATTAATATTTGCTATATTTAGTAATTTACGATTTATTTTACGATATTATTTTCAAATTTTCATTATTCTGAATCGATAATTTATAATTGTCTATGGCTTGAATATAATTTATACGACTGTCAGGTTTGACGTAAGAAAAAGGAATATTCAAAGAATGATAAACTTTTTGTCAAAGTTGCTTCACTATCTTTTTTGAAATAGGGTTAGTTGTTTTATTATAACAATGCCTGTGCCGGGTGGTATGTACCAGAATCAAGGCCCTACTTGCTTTGACAAAATGAAAATGGGATTCATGATAGGTTTTTGCGTTGGAATGGCAAGTGGAGGCCTCTTCGGCGGATTCACTGCGTTGAGGTTAGTAGATATTTATCCAGTATATTGTTTTTTGACATATAAAATTTATTTAAAACCAATATTGATTAATTCCTCAGATACGGTGCAAGAGGGCGCGAACTTGTCCATTCGGTTGGAAAAGTGATGCTTCAAGGAGGAGGAACATTTGGTACATTTATGGCCATTGGAACTGGCATCCGATGCTAATATTACACACATTAAAATTTAGGAATTTCAAAACTCAACTTGTATATAATTTGAAGTAGATATTTTATCCATAATTTAATTAATAAAGTTTGGTTATAAGTTATTATTGATGTCTTTCTATCATTTAATATGTATGTGATGTGGTTCCCACATTCTCTTCTACTTAGAAGTTGTGATCTTATATAGAATAATAATATATTATTAAGCATAAAAAAACTATTTTTTTTTATATTGTAAAAATAATGACTGACGATATTAAACAAAACTTTACTTTAATTTAAATCTTCTCTGATTATATAAGCAACCTAAGAATAGTTTGTACAAATCATAATATTCATTTTATTAGTAACATAGTTACGACTAAAGAACAATGTGAAAATTTAGGTTTTAAGCTTATGGACTTAGATATTGTAAGCCAAATATTATTCATATATTTTTTTCCAATATTAAGGTGGAAATATAGTATTTTGTATCAAATAAATTTACATCACATGTTCAAAAAAGTACAGACAATTGATTTCAATAAAGTCCTCAATAAAATACTTTATATAAAACATGAAATATCTTACCTTCTTTGGCTAAACCCGTTATTCCATCCAAAGGTGCTGTATTTCCACTTTCAATGTCTGAACCAAAGGATAGATGCCTTATAATATGGGTTGTGTTAAAAACAGATGAAGAGAACGGCTGGACATCATGTACATGCACATGATTGATTGTGAAACTTTTACCTGGTGCTATGTGAAAACTTCCTCCAACCTAAAAATTCAAACATAAATCAATATCGCACCAACAAAATTATTTATTTTATTGTTATGCTACAACTGTAGTCTACAAAAAAAATGGAAATCAAGTTATTTATTCATCTTTCTACACATACACTATAAACATAAGGTTATTGTTAAGATGAATTCTCAACCAGATTACCTTAAAGATAAAGAAGAAAAAATTAATAAATTAAATAATTGCAAGATTAGATTAAATTACTAATAAAAAGAGGAAATGACGAACATCAAGATTCATTATTGTTTTTTAAAGCAGCTTTACTTAATATACAAATCAAGAATATATTTTGACAAAGAATTAGCTTTGTTAAAATGTTCAAGAGCCATGCAGCTGTTAAAATAAATGAGTCAGATAGAAATGCAGTTTCAGTTTGAATTATTAAAATCATATGATTTATTATCATTTGTATAAAGAATTACTATGGTTTTAAAGTTAAAAGCTAGTTATAATAAGTAAATTTTATTATTACCCTATTTACTTCCATATAACCATAGATCTGACAACCTTCTTTGAGAGCTAGATTAGTTCGTTCTAATGAATCATCATCCTTACATTGTTCTACAGTTGCTAGATCTGGCAGAGCCCATCGTCTTAATCTATATGCTTCTTTAACATCTTCGCAAGTATTACAACATCTGCACAAAAAAATTGATAATTAAGTATATATTTCATTAATACAATGAGAATGTAATTAGAACAATACCAATAATGATTTAGAAAATTTTATTTACATGAAATTAAATATTTTTGCTTATATATTTTTATTATAATTTCTATATTATTATAACCTACAGGTAATAGTTTTTTATTAAATTTAAGTTTTCGTCTATTTAGTGTAAATTTCTATTGTATTATTAAATTAAAAAACAAATCTTACTGTGAATCATTAAAGGCGGCTCCATAACAACTCCCACATGTAACAACGGCTATTTCTGAATTATTTTGTTTAACCTTAAAAATTCAAATATTATAAAAATTTTATTACAATTTTGATAACTTATATATTAAAATCTTACTGTTGAAGAAAGAGATATGTCTTCCTTTACTGGTTCTTGTATAGGAACACCATCCAAATCTAATCTTCTTTTATGTACATTGTGGTCCATTTGAAGATGTTGTTCACCCGATGAATCCATAGCATCCAATACCAAATCTAAATTAGTAATTTAATTTATTATTTTATTTTTGAATTTTTTTAATGATTATAGACTATTATACCTACAATCACAGGATATCCTTGGAACTACAATATCAAAATTGATCCTTAATTTATGACCTCTTGAAGTGTCCACAAACAGCTCTTCTGATATATTAGGGGACATATATGTATGCAACTCGGAAAGTATCAGTAAAATCATTACAAACGCACCCGTTACTGTAACTAAAGAGGTTTCATAGTATTATACAAACTCTTTTCACTAAAATATAAATATTAAAAAAATAAATATATTTACTTATTGCACCAGTCGCTGTTTTAACTCTAAAGTCTTCTAATGTTTTAGCATACGCATCGAGTTGTTTAAATTTGCCAATTATTTGAGAAGCCATGTTATTAATACCTCACAAAACTAACGAATTCACAAACGTTTACACAAACAAGTACTTTAACAGTAAATAAAATAAACGAAACTTTTGATCGGCTATTCGAAAATTAAACAGCTGTTGTGCTGTCAAACTGTCATTGGTTCAAAGGGTTTAACACAGTTGAACAATTATAATTTAAGTATCTCCAATAAAATACTCTCATACTAATAATATTTAATTCTTTATTATTTTTTATTCTTTCAACATAATGAATACAAAAATAAACTGTGTTGAATATAAAATAACAATCACAATTTATTATAAACAACACGATTTCTTGATAACATTCAGCCGCATTAAAATTATAACAAATGATAAAGAAAAGTTCAACTTAATACATTGTTCTATTAATTTATAATAATTCATTTACCAAAATGAAAGCGGGACTACATTTCATATACTGTCATTGTCGGCATTGTCATAATGCCGAATAAGACGAGAATTATGAAACCGATGGCAATAGCTTCAATAGTTGATTGACAAAACTCCATCACAAAAAAACGCTGACTGTATGAATTATGTATTAAGGAGTGTAATATTCCAACATCCAAGAGCACTATTAGACATTGAAGACTCCTATTTTTTTTCATTCTTTACCTATGATAAAAAAAATAGGGCGGTTGTATGCAATACTTGCATTATTCCTTATATATTTATACTTAACATTTCAATTGAGATTGTTCCTACTTATTACTACGTAGTTATTAAGTATATTTCTTACGAAATGCAACGAAAAAAATGCTTCTAGCTGTAAACAATTTCTATATAATTTAAATATATTAGAATTATAACAGCGTGCAGTGCAGATAATAACAAGTAGCTTTATATAAGAATAAACATAAGAAATATTGTAAGAATTAAGAACACAATTATATCCTCTTCGTATCCATAATGAATTTATAATAAAAATAGAATTTGACCGTCACAAAATTTCATTAGTTTTATAACTATTACGAATACAAACACGGAGCAACATTTTATGAAAGAAATAAAATAAACAATTATAATTACATCAAGCTATTATATTATAATAGTAGGATTTAATTAATAACAAAAGTTTAAATTCAGAACACATGCATACATAATTAACTTCAAATAATGCCACATCACTTTTTAAATTTTAGACATAGGCAACTTACAAACTTCAGACTTCTGAATGTATTAATGATACACAAAATTATTGTTTGTCAATACTTAAGTTGATATAATGCATATGAGGCTATGCAATAATTGAAACCAAAAATAGACATAAATAGAAACGGAAAGTTATTGTGCATCCCGTATTCAACTCTAGTATACCTATGAACTATCTATAATGATCAATATATTTATTAAGGAAATTATTTCAAAGGTTAATAACTAATACACACTTTTATTCCTTTTCGCAGTAATCATACCGATAAAATAATAATTTAAAGCAACGAAATATAGATATGTAATCCGCCTAAAAAACTATCTTTGTCTTTGGAACGTGTACTCAGGTTTTGAAAGTAAAGCATTTGTCATTTGTCAATTTGTCACTGTCGATTTAATGTGGTTACGTTTTTCCTTCCAGCTTGAGCCTTATAGTGAAGTCTAATTATATATGTAAGTGCAGTGGTGATTGTATCGATTCCAATGTTAAACCAGTAACAAATATATAAGATTTATTCTGATCCTTTAAATTTCAAGATTTAATTGTGTTTTTAGTTAAAAGGTAGATTTTTTAATTCTTCGTACTCCAGATGCCTGGTGTAGTTTTGCCACAGGCACAAAACTGATTTCACGTAAAACATACTTTCACTTCATACTTTTATTACCATATGGACTATAATGTCTTCATACTTTATCACAATTAAGATTCAAACATATTTATTTTGCATTTTTATAACATTTCTATACCATGAATATTAACATTCCAACATACATTTAACCTTTAAGTTCTAAGTCAGACCTTTCACTTATACCAGATAAACGGAAATAATAATCATGTATATGCACTTAATAAAATAAATAAACTTATTTATTTCCTAAAAAAATATTTTTTTCACAATATTAACTATATACTATTAAAATATAATAATTTAGTGTTTTTTTGTAAATGTAAATTAGATTTATTACAATTCTTATGACTTTTTCTGTCCCATTAAATTTAATACTGTTACTTAATATTATTTAATTTTTTCTTATAAAATGTTATTAAATATTAACTCTTTCTTTCTAACATATGGAGCATGATGTAACACAAAGCAATGTCATAATATATCTAAATACTTATACATCATTACTGAATGTATTTTTATTTAAATATTATTGAGTGTTTCATCTTAATTAATGAAATAAATGTTTCTTGCAGATATCACAATGAATAACAACATGAGCGGAAGTGAAATAAGAAAAGCTTTTATTGATTTCTTCATCAATAAAGGGCACAAGTATGTCCATTCTTCATCCACAATTCCTTTAGATGATCCTACTTTGCTATTTGCAAATGCTGGCATGAATCAATTTAAACCCATTTTCTTGGGTTCAGTCGATCCAAACTCTGATATGGCTCAGTATGTAAGAGTCGTTAATACCCAAAAGTGTATAAGAGCAGGAGGAAAACATAATGATTTGGATGATGTAGGAAAAGATGTCTACCATCATACATTTTTTGAAATGTTGGGAAATTGGTCCTTTGGTGACTACTTTAAAAAAGAAATATGTGGCTGGGCTTGGGAACTGCTCACAGAAGTATATAAATTACCCGCTGATCGTTTATACATAACATACTTTGGAGGTGACAAAGCTTCCGGACTTGAACCAGATTTAGAATGTAAGAACATATGGTTGAGTTTAGGTGTCCCTGAATCACACATCCTACCAGGAAGTATGAAAGATAACTTTTGGGAAATGGGTGAAACGGGCCCTTGTGGACCATGCTCTGAACTACATTATGATAGAATAGGAGGAAGGGATGCTGCACATCTTGTAAACATGGATGATCCTGATGTCCTTGAAATTTGGAATTTGGTGTTTATTCAATTTAATAGGGAGTCAGATGGATCACTTAAGTTACTACCCAAAAAACACATTGATTGTGGCTTAGGATTAGAAAGATTGGTTTCTGTGATTCAAAATAAGAAGGCTAATTATGACACTGATTTCTTTATGCCTATATTTAAGGCCATTGAAAATGGCACTAAGGTAAGACCTTATACTGGTCATGTTGGTGCAGAAGATACAGATGGTATTGATATGGCATACAGGGTATTAGCTGACCATGCCCGTACATTGACCATTGCCTTGGCAGATGGAGGTTACCCAGATAATACAGGAAGAGGATATGTTTTACGAAGAATTTTAAGAAGAGCCGTCCGTTTCGCTTCAGAAAAACTAAATGCTAAACCAGGTTTCTTTAGCTCATTGGTACACACTGTCGTAGAATTATTGGGTGATGTATTTCCTGAAATCAAAAAAGATCCAGAGTCTATTATTCAAATTATAAATGAGGAAGAAATTCAATTCTTGAAAACTCTTACAAGGGGCCGAAATCTGCTAAACAGAACTATTGAAAAACTGGGTGATTCAAAAACTATACCAGGAGATGTTGCTTGGCGAATGTACGATACCTATGGCTTCCCTATCGATTTGACTCAGCTCATGTGTGAAGAGAAGGGCTTAAATATTGATATGGATGCTTATGAAAAGGCCAAAAAAGAATCTCAACTGTCATCACAAGGTAAAGCTGCTGGACAGGAAGATTTGTTAGCTCTGGATATTCACGCCATAAGTCATTTACAAGAGACAGGTGTTAACACAACAGACGATTCACCAAAATACAACTACACACCCTCCTCGACAGATAAAGATGCTGAATATAAATTTGCTCCTTGTGAAGGTGTCATTACAGCGCTACGCAGAAATAAAGAATTTGTAGATGAAGTTAGTACTGGTCAAGAATGTGGTATTATACTAGATCGCACAAATTTTTACGCTGAACAAGGAGGTCAAATATTCGACGAGGGTTACATGGTTAAGATAGACGATGAAAGCGTAGAATTCACAGTTAAAAGCGTACAAGTTAAGGGAGGCTATGTTCTTCATATTGGAAAAGTTGAAGGAACTCTCAAAGTTGGAGATAAAGTTTCTCTTCATATTGACACTGAAAGGAGGAGATTAGTGATGAATAATCATACAGGAACACATATTCTGAACAATGTGCTTAGGAAAGTACTTGGAAACGATTCTGATCAACGTGGATCCCTCGTAATGCCGGATCGTTTAAGATTCGACTTCACAAATAAAGGACCCATGACTGTGAAACAGATTAAAGATGCGGAAGATCAAATTAAAGAAATAATAAGCCAAAACAAAGTTGTATATGCTAAACATACTAGCTTAAGTGAAGCTAAAAAAATTAAGGGCTTGCGTGCAATGTTCGACGAACAGTACCCTGATCCAGTAAGAGTTGTTTCAGTTGGAATACCTGTTGAAGATTTAGAAAATAATCCCGATGGATTGTCTGGATTTGAAACTTCCGTTGAATTTTGTGGTGGTTCTCATTTACACCAAACCGGTCATATCGGTGATTACGTTATTGTAAGTGAAGAAGGTATTGCAAAAGGAATTCGAAGAATTGTAGCATTAACAGGTCCCGAGGCTATCAAAGCCTTAAATAAAATGAGTTCTTTAGAAAACGAAGTTAACGCTATTGCAAATTTAATTAAGGAACAGGGTGACAATGTTAATCAAAAAGAAGTTGTTAAAAATATAGTAGACCTGACTAATGACGTTTCTCATGCTCAAATAGCTTACTGGAAAAAAGAGGAATTAAGAACACTGCTGAAAAATCTAAAAAAACAATTGGACGATAAGGAAAGGGCTGCAAAGGCGATGACAGCTAATATTGTTGTAGAAAAGGCTAAAGAATTGTGTTTAAATAATGAAAATGCACAAGTTATTGTTGAAGAATTAAAGGCTTACAATAACACTAAGGCACTGGATGGTGCTTTAAAGCAAGTCAAACAAATGTTACCGAACACCGCTGCTATGTTTTTCTCTGTTGACGACGATTCAAATAAAATCTTTTGTCTAGCTGCTGTGCCTAAGATTTTAAATGAAAAGGGTTTATTGGCGTCTGAATGGGTCCAATCAGTCGTGCCAGTGATGGGAGGTAAAGGTGGAGGAAAGGCCGAGTCCGCTCAGGCTTCTGGAAGTAGTCCTAATAAACTACAGGAAGCAATTAAAATTGCTCGTGATTTTGCTAATTCCAAGCTGTCGTAAAGATGTAAGCTAATATCAAATATATGACAGGATGTTGTTCGCGTGGGATTACTAAAACAATTATTTAAGCACCAATTGCATTTTAATAATATATCTTATATTAAAAATATTATTGTTTCATTTTATAGAATATCATCCCTTAGTAACAAATGCAAAAATTTAAACTAGACTAAAGTTACTAAGTTTTTCACAAAGTAGCTTGCCGGACTTTATTGATATATGTATATTGAAATACTAATGAGTAATGACGCATACTTGTTACCTATCTATTAGGAAATCTATAGTAATTTTTTTTTATAATAATGTTGTGATTCTTTTAACCTCATTAAATTAATTAATCACCTGAGACCTTAAGTATACGATCTATAATGTATTTGATACTTGATTATTTTTATAGAAAGGTTAACTTCTCTTTACATATTTTTTCATTTATATAATATTATTAAATTAAACGAAATTAAAAAGTATTTATGAATTAATGTTTATATTCTCATATTAATGAATCCGAGTTGTAACTTTTACGTTCACTATTTAGTGAAATGTTATGTTTACTCAGATGTATTTCATACAACCGTAAATGTCTATGCTATGATGATAAAGTGAAAAGGATATTTACGTGAAAATAAAAAAAAAACTTGCATTTTAACCTTTTTTATTGAACTTTATAGAAGAACTTTTAAATATAGTTCAAACAAAATATATCTTATATAACTGACATAGTACACTAAATATATCTACATAATAAAATTATTGTTTAAACAAATATTCATAAAATTTTTTGGTTGGTCTTTTTCATGACGGCACCGTATCATTCAATGATGCCATATATTAGTTGGTGCATTAAAATAACAAGATAATAATTTACAATATTCTACTATAACTAATAGCAAACCTATTACTCCTGACCGAAGCCTTCTGTTTCTTCAATTGCATAATTTAATTTCTCACATAATTGTTCATAACTCTTGTAGGGCGGTAAATCGAGACGGTTGAAGCAAGTGTGCGATCGTGGCAACCAAGTGTCCTTACCGACCTAAAAAAAAAAAATAATAATCAAAGTTCTGCACTTTAATGGATTAAAAAAGCTTTAGAATAATGATTTATTATATTGTTACTTATACTTTTGGCTAAAAAAATACACACCACACACGCAAACACATACGCGCACACACTCACATATTATACAGGGTGACTGGTGAATTACTATCGATACTTGAGGACGTGATATTTGACGATCATATATGACAAAATAAAAATTAATATAACATAAATATTAATAAACTTCTAAGTAAAGTTGACCAAAAGTTATGTAATTAATTACGCATCGTGTGAACACCCTACAGATTAGGTATATACACACACGCGTGCGGAGGCGTGGTGTTGTATCAGCACGCCGCCACACGCGTCCACACTTGGAACGTGTCCACACTTTATTTATTTATACGGTAATTTGTTCAAAAATTAAGTACCCATTTTTTTTACATAATTCGAATGAGAATCATGTACCGAGTATTCTCCTTGAATATTGATAGTAATTCACCAGTCACCCTGTATATTAACATTACGAACCTTTTCTATACAGAATCTCTGTGGTCCATTGGAGCCCATGAGTTCAGCGAACCCGCCCACAGGCACGCGACATGTTCCCGTCACGAACTGAAGGAGCCTAGCGCGTTTCTCATTATCCATTTGTCTTACAAACTGAAAAATATACAACATTTTATCAATATTTTAGTATATTTAAGTCTTGAAATATTTAAAACCCTACGTCTATTAGCATTAAAAGATATTAGAGCTAATATTTTAAATTTACAAAGGAGTTTTAATGAACTCTGACTATATTTAAATACGCTTTGTTGAATAATTTTGACATGTTAATTTTCTTTTACAAATCTGATAAAAATCGTTCCGTAATTGTTGATTGCTATGTAACAATTATTCATACATGTATTTAAATAAATTCTACCGGTATATTTTCGCCTATATGATACGCGGATGAATCAGATAGAACATTAAATATATTGCCACAATTTTTAAATTATTTATATAAATTATATTCAGTTAATAATTTTATTAATATGTCATTTATTTTCAAATTCAAAGTTTATACCATACTAGCTTTCCGCCCGCAGCTTCGCCGCGTGGAGTTCGGTTATATCGCGTTTCCAAGAGAACCTTTCAAAAGTCTGGGATAAAAACTATCCTATGTTCTTTCTCAAGGTCAACTCTATCTCTGTACCGAATTTCATTAAAATCAGTTCAGTGGTTTAGGCGTGAAAGCGTAACAGACAGACAGACAGACAGACAGACAGACAGACAGACAGAGTTACTTTCGCATTTATAATATTAGTAGGGATCTCTCACCCATACAAATTTATTAAAGGAAAAATATCATAAACTTCTGATTTGACGTTTATACCAGATGTTCTACTTTCACAAAGACTTAATACCTTTACCTTGACCTGTTCTTTACGATTACAACATTTATCTTGTTTAGTTCGCAACAATGTAGTATAATAAATATACATGTAGTACATACTAAAATTATATTAACGCTTATAAGGCGTAGTCATATAATGATTAAGAGAGGATGAATAGTTATTGAGTGAAAGATGGGCAAACATCTGTACATAACAAACAAATTCAGGATTTCTGGATGAGATCTCTTGTTAGAGATAAGATATCCCTTGTACACATCTATTATTAATAATTAACTGTATACTTTCTTGGTACAAAAATAAATAAATTAGCTCATACCTGCCAGAACCACACGACCTGTTTGCTGGTTCTCGTGTAATGCCTGTATATGGTGTTCCTTTGCCAGTCATCTACATCAACCTCCTGCATCCCGCACAGCATCAGCTCCAGTTCTCGCTCATCGAAATATTTCAGCCACTCCAGTGGCACTACCTGAATTATAATTGAAAAGCTTGCTAAGTAATTTTTAGTTAAGAAATATTAAACCTTATTAAAATTTGTATTTATAACATACCTCATTGAATCCGTCCAGAAAAGCATTGGTCTGTTCTTCAATTCCTCTGGTCATTCTCCATTGTGTAACTAATTGTAAGTATTGCTCTTTGTTGCCCTGTAATATGACAATTATTTGTTTTTTATTGAAACATTTTAACAACAAATTGAAACATTTTATTACATTATTCGAAAATTCGTGATTCTATTTTATTTATTGTCATTTAACCTGTGATATGAAATACATAATAATAATAATGTAACAATTTTTTTTTATATCAGTTGATCATCGAAATAGTGAATGATATTACAAATAAAAAGAAATATTGAATAAATATAAATATTACAAAAAGCAACAAACTTACTTCAGTCACTCGTTCTTTATCACCCGAAGGTTTTAATTCATGATGTATAACTTGACCCAAAACTTCGAAATCTACACTAAACCACATTTCAAGGCCACATTCATCAATATTGTTATCCTTTATCCAAACCAATGAGTTGTAAAATTCCGGGTCAATTGATTCGATGTCTTTCATTGTCAACTTCTTATTCAACATTCTCTTATAGAAGGGCATCGTGAAACCAGAATAAATAAATCTACCATGATATAGTGCCATTGCTATGAATCTTCCTATAAACTTAAAGTAAAGCAAATGATCGGGGTTCACATAACTGGCTGGATTTATCTGAAGGCTATAATTGTTTTTATTTGCATATTCAAATAAACAGTACATGGGGTTGAGAACCTCATGCGATAATAAAAAGAACCACTCTCGACTGACGCCACCGTAGTCTAGACCTTCTTCACCTCGGAATATAATGTAAAGTCTCCTTCTCAATTCATACGCTGGGAGCCTCATAATCTGGAAAATATTAAAAACAAGGATTAGATTAAATTAACGAGTGTAAGGCACTTTGGATACAAAATAATAGATATTCACGTCACCTGATGATAGGAGTCTTCAAACAAAGTCTGTCTGGACAAAGTAATTTTAATGTGACTGGGTAAAGCATTGCTCTGACAGAGGTATCTAAATTGGCTAAGTTTCCATCTGAAGGATCGTTCGTATGCTCGAGGGACTCCGTAAGCCCCTTGAGGTCCCTTCGGTGCCCCGGGACGAGGGTCCTGGAATGTAGTAGTTCTTGTATTGTGGTCGACGAAATAACGCGTTCCCTCCTCAGTGAATCTGATCTCCCAACCGGGTGGTAAAGCCTCTTCCAACGAACTTATCTCTTGACCCTGTTTGGAAATAATTGTAATAAGACACAAATTAAAGTCAATAAGGTTAAACTAAAAAAAAATTTCTGCATAGTCTATTGATTCGAACCACGGAAACAAAAATGGTGTGTATAACGTACCTGGGTGCGCGGGTCCTCCCACTGTGTAGTGCGGTTTTTGTGGTTGACGTAGTAGACGCGTCCATCGGGCTGCACACGTCGCTCCCAACCCGAGGGCAGAGCGCCCAGGGCTTCCTCGGCGGCCGCCACACTGGCTGCCCCCGCGCCCGGACCAACGACCACACCAGCGCCGGAAGGTACAACCGCGTTACTGGTGCTAGCTCCCACCGATGAAGTGCTGCTACTGGCTGCTATAAAAGGAACATGTTCCTCACTTATTAAAAATCTCTTTGCCTGAGAAACGTGATAGTAAACTAACAAGCAACTAAATAGTTTACAACTATATGACAAGCTGAATGTTGTTGCAGATATATCATACAAAAATTACGATTTCATTTCAGATTCATGTTATTGAATTATACTAAAAACAGGATGTATTTTCATGCAATAATTAACTTTATGATTTAAGCTCCAAACTATAAATAGTTTTTAAATATGTATTATATAGCGATTTAAACATATATTTGTTTTATACGTTAGAGCCTCGATAAAGGCAAAATTTATTCGTCACACTTAGGCAACAAAAATTCAACTTGTAAGATACTAATACTGTGACTATTTTACAAATAAGTGAAAAAAAATATTCCAAGAAAATAGACGAAAGATTAGGAACTAGCAAAAGTCTAGATAACGACAGTTGTAGGCGAATGCTTATTTTTATCTTACAAATAAATATCTTTGAACAAATAAATCTTTTTATTTGTAACACAAGATGGCGTTGCAGGTTTATAAGCACGAATATAAGACTAATTCTCAAACAAATAAATATTAATCCGAAAATTCTAATCAGATAAAAGTATTTGTATGATAAAATATTGATAACACTAATTGAATACATAAAAGTTTCGGTACACAGATAAATAACATGGCCTCTTTTTGATTTACACAAATTTTATAAATATCGTAATTAGTTTTGATTACAATTTTTTATAATTCGATTATATTTTCACGAAACAGGCTTTGGAGAATTTCCGACCTAAATATTTATTTTGTAGTTTTTTATATTCAGACAATACTCTTTTAGGACGTCTTTGGGGTTTTTGTGTCTTTTTCTTTAATATTTATATATGGGTACAAAAGGAGTTTTATAGTTTTTTTTTAATTTGATTATACTTAAACAACCACTCTTATCTGATATCTCGTGAAAACATAAAGATAAATTGTTATGTCAAGTGACAATTACATAATAATTTATATTTGTATTGTATATGCTGCACAGGAAATGACTGCTCATCTTCAAATGTAGGTGATTACAGGCTGACAGTATACAATAACTCCAATATACAACCGACCAGATGAGCTTCTGTCGTGCAATATACAGGGTGACTGGTGAATTACTATCGATACTTGAGGACGTGATATTTGACGATCATATATGATAAAATAAAAATTAATTTAACATAAATATTAATAAACTTCTAAGTAAAGTTAACCAAAAGTTGTGTAATTAATTACGCATCGCGTGAACACCCTACAGATTAGGTATACACACACACACACACGCGTGCGGCGGCGTGGTGTTGTATCAGCACGCCGCCGCACGCGTTCACACTTGGAACGTGTCCACACTTTATTTATTTATACGGAAATTTGGTCAAAAATTAAGTACCTATTTTTTTTTTACATAATTCGAATGAGAATCATGTACCGAGTATTCTCCTTAAATATTGATAGTAATTCACCAGTCACCCTGTATAAATGGGATAAAAAATTATACTTAACTTAAATCTTCGCCTCTAAGTGTTGTCAATTCAAAATCTCTAAATATATTTAAAAAAACGATTAAGAACCCATATATTAGAAGATTTCACTGATCTTGTTTAATTTCATTACTGTTTATTATTTGTAATTTTAATTGTAGTTATAGTTTTTAAAATTTTCTTTTTAAGCGAACTTTGTTCTTTTTGGAAATAGACTTCTTTAAACCTAAACCTGGTATATACCTGGTGTTTGTTCGACATCGTTATCAGCCAGTTGTCCGGGCGGGTGGGGTGGTTGCGGCGCGGGGTACAGGAAACGCTGGTTGCCCTGAGCGACCACGTGTCGGCGCTCTCCTCGCCAGTGCTGGAACCTCGCCAGGCGCTCCGTGTCCGGTCTCTGCCACGTGGTGGTCCGCGTGTTGTGATCCACGTAATACACGCGGCCGCGAGTGTCGCGACGCACCTCCCAGCCGGGCGGCAACGGCTGAGGGCGCTCCCAAGACGTTGAGCGTGTATTGTGATCGACGTAGTAACTGTAGGAGAAAGAGACATGACTGATTAATGGCTCAATTTTACTTAAACTGAAAACATATGGTCAATTATTTGATGACTTTTTAGCACCCACAATTATTTTTTCATATAAAATTTTAATATCATTTAAATTCAGCGATTTCAAATATTTTCCTTGTTTTAAAGTAAGCCTGTAGAGCAGGAAAAGTACCAAAAATATAATAAAAATTTAATTCAGTATCTCAGTTGTTTGTTGATATAAATATTATTTATGGTTTATTAATAATACCGTCTGCCATAAACGTCGTGTCTCATCTCCCATCCGTGAGGCAGGGGTTCCTCAGTGGCTGCTGAGGGTGTCGCGGCAGGTGGCTGAGTGGGAGGCGGATGTGTGACCGGCGTCACGTGAGGAGGCTCCACTTCCTGACGCGATGGCCCAGCGTTACTATCAGCGGTCGTCGGAACCACACCATTACTCAAAGGAGGAGGACCTGGGGGGCGGCTGTATTACAAATAAAAATCAATTACTAATTTGAAATTCAATTTGAACAATAAATTCAGATATTATAACTACTTGCCCTTAATGGTCTCGGATGTCCCATGGACCTCGAGACTTCAACACTATTCCTTAATCTTATCCTTGCACGAACTCCGTCAGTGAGAGGACTACGGGAATTTAACCTCTCAAAATATTCAGGTATTTGAGCTAGAACAGCAGGATCTATTCTTAAACCATCAAGTAATAGAGTGAGCTCAGCAGACTTGACTTCTACATGTGAAACATTTTCATTTGATACTGTTTTCAATAAATCTGTAATAACCATAACATGTTATGATGGCATTCAAAACAAAAAGAGTAAATGTAGGTATATAGAATTCATATAATAGAAACTTTCATACCAATACAAACTTCAACATTTTCACATTTCCCATTAAAGTACAGAAGAATTTGGAATAGACCTATTCTTTTTTCACCAATAATATGATCTTTTCTAAAACTATGGTGGTCTGCCAAACGAAAGAGTATTTGAGACTGAGGTGTTACTAAAACGGTGAAATCTTCCTTCCATTTTGGATGTTGTGTGTTCTTCAAAACCTCTGTCCGTCTTGAAATCTTATCATCTACTACAACTTGTAAATAAGGATTCGGTTTGAATAATCCTGAATTTCTTATGCTCGCAGACTCAACTGAAATATTGTGTACAAATAATTTAGAGGATGTTATTTATTATTTTAATATTTTATCATATAAGGCTGTTGAAAAAACTAATAATTGTATATATTAATAGGGCAAATCTGTTACATATAAACATATTTGAAGAAAACAAATTATAGTTTATAACAAATTAATTTAATTTAACACAGTTAAAAATAATTAATTTTATATCTTTAACTACACATTCCAAACAAATCTTGGAATTATTCTTGTTATGGTTGATGCAATGTTGTGGTTACAGTTTTCATAACAGAATCATATTTCATTGCTGCACACTTTAAACAGAATTATAATTTTACATATTAAAATACTATAAAATATTACACATATAAACATGCATACCTGTTAGACTGAGTTGATGATAATTTGATAAAACAATAGGTGGAGTCACTGCAGTGGTGTTTTCCGTCATAGTGATGTGACTATTTCATAATGTTTTCTTAGGTACAATTAGCTTTTGAACATTATTTAAAATCTACAACAGATAATTGAATAAGTTAATAGAAATAAAAGTCCTTTTAAGCAGCTAAAAAAAAAGTATGACGGATTTTTTTTTATCAAAGCAATGATAAGAGATAGAATGCCATAGTGTTATCAATACAGTAAATTTTTAATTGTAAGACTTAAATTTTGCATATTGATAACATTATACATATTCACAATAACATCCTATCATACATTGCAAATGTAAATATTGTATAGACGTGTTACATATTCAATGTGATATTGACATTTTCCTATACATTTTATATCTAATTATGTTACTTTCAAGGACAAGTTACAAAAACATTATAACGAAAAAAATTATTTCATTGAAATGTCTGCTCTATAAAATTAGAGTTCCGCTACAAATAATAAAAGATAATTATGGAAACAATAGAAGTTTTAAGTTCAAAAAATTGCTATGGTTTCACTGTGGTCAACTTTCATCTATAATAAATGTAAAAATTACCGCTTTGCAAATTCTTCAGATTATGTCATTATCGTTCTTCCTTATCATACTGATGTCTGAAAGGAAATAGACCAACAATTTACATGCACTTATAGAATGATCGCGTATATCAGCACAACGACTCTGTCTATTACTTCATCATAAAGTGGTACGCACAAAATACTACAAAACAAAACTAAAAAATAAAACTACGTAGTAGATAAACAAAAACAATCTTGAAATTTAACTAGTCACAACTTCAACATTTTTACCACAGATATTTCTTTATAGAACTCAGCCTTCGAGCTTTAATAAGACACTCATACAAAAGGAGTATAGATTACAAACAAATGTTGTTAACACTGACATTACCGTTGTGAAACAGATTAAACTTTGTCAACTATTGCAAATGGGCCAAGCATGTTGACAAGAAAGCTATAATAAATAAATAAATAGTTACTTTTTGAATATATTATATAATTTGTAGATATTATAATACGATTAATGTATATACCTTAAAGATGTCTCTTTTTAGTATTTAAAAAATATATATTTGAGAATGGTGCTAGTACTTAATTCACCTTATTATCTCCTAAAAAACACATTTTAATATGTTGTTAACAAGTCTTGAAATTATTCTTTTTCGCCATTGATTAATTAGGTAAAAAGAGGCAAAGGACGTATACATAATATTTTTATTCTATATTTTTACTTTACATTTGTTCACAATGACCTCGACGTCAAAATAAGTTGACTGCTGATCGATATCGACTATTTTCGTTGTCAAAGTGAAAAGAATATTGAAAAGTTGTTTTTTTTACAATTTCATTAGAGTTAATACAATCGTAAAACATTTTTAATGATTTTTTTGTATGTCATATCTTATATAAAACTGTATGTATAAATAAATTCTCTAACTGTTAAAATATTGTAATTTTTCATTACAGCTTGGTGTTGTTTAAATGATTGTAAACATATCCTTTCTAATTGAAATCTTTAAAAAGTGAACTTTATCTAACTTTTTAAATTCTATATCAAGTCAACTAAACGAAAACCGAAATAAACGTAAATAATGATAGTTATTTCTATTTTAGTAAAAGTTCACAAACATATTACCAAATACTGTTCTATATTTACAGTAACAAAATTCGTCTTAGAGATGAGTCCTTTGGAGAGTAATCCTGTGGCTGTTTTAAACCACATTGATGAATATGTCGAACTGCTTTATGATGATATTCCAGAGAAAATAAAGGGCTCTTCACTTATTTTACAACTGGCCAGGAACCCAGATAACTTGATAGAACTAGCAAGAAATGGTAGAAAGACTTGTACTAAAGATGTCTGTTTTTAACTGTATTACATTTTTTTTCATTCTATGTATTTTTGCAGAAGCTTTACTAAGTGCTCTCTCAAGAGTCCTGAGAGAGGAATGGAAGAGGAGTATAGAACTAAGTACAAACATTGTATACACCTTTTTCTGCTTCTCGACTTACTTGGAGTTTCATCCTGTTATCATTCAGTACAAAATTGGTTCTCTCTGTATGGATGTTATTGATTACGAATTAAAGAGATATGACCAGTGGAAAGAAAAAGTTGAGGGAAAGAAACAAGTGCTGACACCAGAGAAGGTATTTAATATATAAACATTTATCATCATCATCATCTAAGAGCCTATCCCGGTCACTCGTCCTGCCAGGGGTGGGAGAACCTAGGGTCCGCTTTCCTACTTAGTCCCCTCCACTTTGCTGGGTCTTCGGCATCCTTCTTCTTGCGTCCATTGGCACGCATGTCATCCTGCACGACATCAAGCCAACATTTTTTATGCCTTCCTCTACTCCTGGTGCCAGGTAGGGTCATATATTAAGGCATTTGTGACCTATATAGTTTTCTGGTCGACGTAAGAAATGGCCATACCAGCATAGACGAGTTTCCTGCAACTTGTCGGCAATGTCACGGACATGCAAGCTGCCACGAATGTGTGAGTTACGAGCGCGATCTTTCCGCGTAACACCACACGTCCAGCGCAGCATATTCATCTCCGTGACATACAACAACCGACGGTGCCGCTCAAGCAACGGCCATGCCTCACTGCGTACATAAGTACAGGCCTAGTGATGGTTTTTTAGACCTGTTTTCTTCGGCTTGACTGGCATTTTAGGGTTACAAATAACTCCCATCACCTCACGTCACTTCGGCCAAGCCGCAGTTATACCGGCTTTGATGTCGCGATTGATGTTATTTAATATACAGGGTGACTGGTGAATTACTATCGATATTTGAGGACGTGATATTTGACGATCATATATGACAAAATAAAAATTAATATAACATAAATATTAATAAACTTCTAAGTAAAGTTAACCAAAAGTTATGTAATTAATAACGCATCGTATGAACACCCTACAGATTAGGTATGCACACACACTCACACAGACGCGGCGGCGGCGTAGTGTTGTATCAGCACGCCGCCGCACGCGTCCACACTTGGAACACTTGGAACGTGTACACACTTTATTTATTTATACGGAAATTTGGTCAAAAATTAAGTACCTATTTTTTTTACATAATTCGAATGAGAATCATGTACAGAGTATGCTCCTTAAATATTGATAGTAATTCACCAGTCATCCTGTATAAACATTGCACATTCCCAATGATACTTATGTTATATATCAATTTCTATAATAGATTTAATTAAAATTTTAGAATGAACTTCCAAAAAGTCGTATACCAGAACCAAAAACGTCGTCCTAAATCAGGCACTTGGGCCGTGGCTGATGTTAGCCTACAGAAAACTCGTTCTATAGTGTCCAGTTACCATGAAGATTTATGTAATGCATCAGATGAAATTTTATCAAAGAATGATGAAGAACAATTAAGGAGAAAACTAAAAACACTTTCTAAACGGCAAGAGCAACTCTTAAGGGTAGCATTTTATATGCTTTTAAATATAGCAGATAATGTTAAAGTGGAAGAAAAAATGCATAAAAAGGATATAGTAGGCTTACTCATTGGTGCCATGGAAAGACACTCAAACATAGACCTTCTGATTCTTATTGTTTCATTCTTGCAAAAAATTGTCAATATTTATTGAGAATAAGAATGCTATGGCTTCTAAAGGAATCATTGAGAAACTAGCACCCTTGCTAGATTCACCCAATGCTGATTTGGTAAATGTTACCCTAAAACTTCTTTTCAACTTGACATTTGACACTAAACTGCGCAATAAAATGGTGAAAATGAGCCTGTTGCCCAAGTTTATTCAGTTTACAAGTATGTTACAATTTTATTTAAAAAATCTAAGTCTATGTCATTTGCCAAATAGCAAATACCATTTATCTCTTTTATTTGCAGGTGATGATAAACATATTAACTTGGCAATGAAAATTCTTTATCATCTTAGTATGGATGACAGAGTGAAAGTTTTGTTTACACAATCTGATTGTGTTAAATTGGTAAATATATTAACCTTTTCAAAAGCCAAGTAATTAGGCTAGAAATCAAATTAGGTTATACAAACTGCTGATAGATTTAGGTGATACAAAGTTTATGGGCACATTATTCAGTAAAATAATGTAGTTAAGATAATTTTTAACAAATTTTTCAGAAATTTATATCTGTTTCATATAATCTATTTATTAAGTTATTGAAGTATAAATTTAAATAATTAATTGCATTGCTATAATCACTAATGAAGACTGCATCCTTCACATTGTTTTATTTCTGATGAATATTTTTTTACATGCCAACAGTTGACAGATATGTTGTTGCTGAATGTGAACAGCGATTCCAGCTGTGACAACGGTCCTGGTACTACAGATGTGTTGCTGGCTTTATGTGTGAACCTAGCGTGGTGTGAGCGAGCCGCCCAGCAGATGACCTCCGAGGGGCGCCTACGGGAACTCCTCGCTAGGGCTTTCAGACACAGGAATGCTATGCTCATGAAGCTAGTGCGCAATCTGTCACACCACTCTGTGAATAAACCGCTTTATGTGGTGAGCTTTCTACTTGACTCTTAATCCTACTAATATTATAATTGCGAAAGTTTGTGAGTGTGTGTGCATGTTTGTTACTTCTTCACGCTCAAACGACTGAACCGATTTTGATAAAATTTTGTATACAGGAAGCTGACGTCCAGGAATAACACATAGGCTACTTTTACATCCCGGAAATCTGCGGGGCGTAGCTAGTAATATAATAAATATATCACAAGTTAGCCTTACATCATGTGTTATTTCTGTTCATTTCAGGAGTTCGTCGGTGACATAGCCGGCGCTGTGACCAGCGATGACGCGTCCGATGAATTTCTCATAGAGTGTCTGGGTACACTGAGTAACATACTACAATCCAACAACAATATCGATATATATGCAGTCGTCGAAAGATACAACCTCATACCTTGTATACTTAAAATATTGGATCCAGGTGAATAATATTTTTAATAGTCACTACATATATAAATATATTGAATTGAATAAAACTCACATCCTATTCGATCTAACAATTGAATCATGCTTTTAGTCACAATTATTATTTATGTGAAACTAGTTTTTGCCGGCGATATCGTCCGCGTAAGCTTTAGCATTAGTCTCAGTTGGAAAAGTTTAGTGTATTAGAATAATAAATATGGTAATAATTCAGTAGCGACATATAGTATGTGTCACGTGACTTCTATAAAATGCGACCCGTACTGAACGCGAGGACTAAATTCCATGAGAAATGTTTTATTCTGATTTCTGACATCTTACCTACATTATTGTAAATTTTCATCATAACGCCTCAAGCGATTTTTGTTGAAGAACCATAAACCTTCTTACATCCATTGTCTACATAAACTAATAATATTTTTTTGGTATCATCTTAAACAAATTGGCAATTAACTGCTCTAAATATACGTACCTACATATAATCAAAATGTAAATAGATAGTTCATGAATTTGATCCAAAAAAAACATTTATCTTTTTGTTCTTGAATAGCAACTTTCAGATCTTTCTCAAAACTTAGACCAATGTCGTTGAATAAAAAAAAATAGGTTTAAAGCACGCTAAGACTATAGACATCATACGAACTTATCAGTAACGACAGCAATATTTATGTCGTTATTTGTTTTTCCTATGTTGTGGTTTACTTAAGGACGTCCGGTTAAAATGTTCTTTAATTCTATATATGACATTGTTTAACTGACAGTGCAATACAGATCATACTAAGTAACCAGTTACAAATCCAGATTTGTTTTTAATTTTTTCTTCATACCATTGGCAGAATGTACTCTGCTCATTGCCTAGATGGAAGATATAATTTAAAGAAATTAATTATAATGTTTAATATATGCAGCGGCTCAGCGAGATCCTGAGTTGGTGTTAGAGTGCGTGGTAGCGGCGGGTACTTTGGGTGTGGAGGAGCGAGCAGCTGCGTCACTAGCAGCGGACGGGGGAGACGCGCTAGTAGCCGCTCTCCGACAGAGGCAAGCTGATGACGAACATGTACTACAGACGGTGTTCGCCTTCAGACAGATGCTCTCACATCCAAAGGCTGCTGAACATCTCGTCACAAAGACCGGTGGGTTGATATGGGGCCGTTCAAGTATTACGTAAGCACTATGGAGGGGCGGGGGGGGGGTCTTTGCTTTGCTTATTTTGGATGACATGGGGGGTAGGGGAGTCTAGATGATGATTACGTCATCGGTAGTTATTTACTTTTTAATCGTTACATCGAGAAGATGCATAAAAAAATTTTTTTTTATTGATTTATATTTAAAAAAAAACAATACAGTAATTAAAAAATGTTTCCGTAAGCATGGGGGGAGGGGGTACGAGCTTTGCTTACTTTTGCTAACAAGGGGGATGGGGGGGTAAATACATATTTTTAATAAATCTTCTTACGTAATACTTGAAAGGCCCCTATAATATACATGAACAAATTTTTTTGACACGACTGTGCTTATAGGATTATATTGTTAAATGTATGGTAATAATGTTTCTGTACCATATTCCGTGCCATCTATAGTTTTTTGTTTAGTGGATTTAAAACATAGTGACTCTTAATTCTTATTATTTATACATGTTCCATTAAATTGAGAGTACAGTAATATTTTATCTTTACAGAGGCACCAGCTTATCTCATCGACCTCATGCAGGACAAAAATGTTGAGATCAGAAAGATGTGCGATTCGTGTCTCGATATTATATCACAAATGCCCAACGAATGGGCGGCCAGGATTAAGGTGAGATGAACAATATATACTTGTTACGAACTGATCTATAAATATATATACAGTTGTGTAAAGTAATTGGTTGGCAAATAAATATAAAAATACTTACATACTTTACTAATTATAATCGATCCAGAGGTTACGCGAAACAATCAAGCAGACTGGCAAAACATTTTAATAAGAGAATATTTTAATATATGTACAACTACAGGTGCTTCAGTTTTATATAATGAAATTCCTGTAATATGTGTTACGTAGGTGGAACGGTTCCGGTGTCACAACGGCCAGTGGTTGTCGGTGGTGGAGACGCTGGGTGCAGAGGGCGGGGCGGGGGACGCAGCGGACGACCTGCCGCCCTACCTCTCCGCTGAATACCTCACCACACACCGACTTACTACCTCCGGTAATATATATTTAGGGCAATTAATATAACTGGGGGCAGAGATACACTATACACAATATTTAGGTGGTAGACAATACTTGGTGGTACACAATATTTAGGTGGTAGACCCTAGCTGTGTTACTACAGCTCTAACATGGGCTGGCTCGACCGGGGAAAATACCACCCCCTCACAGAATATCGGCGTGAAGTATCCTTTAATGGATGTGTTTCGTCCGATGAGTGAGAGAGCCGGTTGCCCTTTTCCTATTTCTCACCCGTTCCTACCATTTCCTTATTCCCACCCCTCCCTATTCCTAAAAAACAAGGTTGGCAACACATCCGCAACAAACATGTTGCGGATGTCCATGACCGACGGTAACCACCTTCCATCAAGTGGGCCGTCTGCTCGTTTGCCACTTTTGACATAAAAAAAAACACTGTTCGCATTATCGTAAAAAAAAAGCTGTCGGTGTCATAACGGCATATTAATCATACAGCAAAACATTTGATATGTCGAACGGCGTATTTAAATTTACTCATGTTTGAAAATATATACTCATCAAAATAGATTATGAGAAACTACTATTTCAAGTCGTTGATTTAAATTTATTTATGAATTTCGCTCAACGATGCTCCCTTAAAAGAATTTGCTACACACACAACCTGCGCTCTCTTAAACAATGTTGTTTTCCATTACAATTACATTTAATTCGAGACGACAAGCTACGACCACTTCTGAGACTTATTTTTAGGGTTTTTTTTTATTCACTTACACTCGTCAAGCAAAACAATAACCGCAATTGAACATTGTTTTAAACATATTTTAAAACAATGTTGCGGTTTAATTAATTATAAGTATTTTTTATGTTCCAAAAAAAAAAACACACTAATAGAAAATTGTAATCTCGTTTAATATTTTTACTATGGTAATTTTTAAACAAACTGTTATTTCATTTCAGATTCACAAATTTCTCTTAACGAGGACTCGGATAGCTTTTCTGGTGAAGCCGACTCAAATCGAGCTCATAGCAGGTGAGCCAATTATAACAATATTATATGGTGTTATAAATATTTTAATGTTATAGAAATAATAGTAATCGTTTTAGATTACGACTGTTATCCAGAATGATGAAAAGACGTGTCAAGAGAAAAAAAATATATCAAATATAATGTTATTCTATTATTTTATATGAAATATTACGAAGATTTTCCTATTATATACTGTGATTGAAAAAAGAATTGTTTTACTGTATAATTTAATGTCATTAATTTAAGACTGTCGACTGAGCACGGTGCCAATGTGCTAGTGTTTTTCAATAAGTAATACAATATGTTATTAATCAATTTGACGACGTCTATTTTACGAGAGAAATGGTAAAATGACTTTGTGTGATATATACATTTTCTAATAAATTATTGATTTAAGGATATGTTTTTGATTATTACAATGAGTATATTTTTTTTATTTTCTGTCTGCTTGTAGGAACACACAGAATGGACATGCCGATGAATTGTTGGGATTATCAGATTCCTTATCAGGAAAGACATTGGAGGATGATGCACAGTTCACAAAGAGTTTAGATTCTTTCACTTAATTAAATATTAATCGATGCATTTTGCTTTTGCTTAACTTATAATCAAATATGTGTAGTTCAGCTAATTCTTATATCTTTACCTTAGTGTTGCTTCACATAAAAACACAATTTTTTATGAAATTAAGAAATGGAGATTATTATTTTACTTAACATATTAATGATGCATTCTAAGAAGTTATTACCTTAATCTTATAATCTATCATACTCTATTTGTCTTCTATATAAAAGGGAAAAAAGTAACCTTTGAATTTAGAACAGCAATGGAAAATATCTACTTACTTATTAATATACACAGAAAATGTCATGTTCCTCACTTGTAAATGACAATACATTAATATTTAATTTAAAAGATCCATGGTTCACAATCAAAATGCTTTAACTACAAAAAGATTAATTATTTAATACAAATGCAGGCACTTCAAGCTTTGGGCGATAGTGATACTACGTCATGCATACCTAGCGGTAGTATCATAAAGTATTATTAAATTAATATATTTGTGATAATATTAGTTGTAAGGATTAAATAAATATATATAACACTATCGTATTATTTAATTTTGTTGTCCATTCCATGAACGTTAATTGCTTTTTTATTTATAAAGGGTGACTGGTGAATTACTATCAATACTTGACGACGTGATATTTTGACGATCATATATGACAAAATAAAATATGTAAATATCAATTTATTATTCAAACAAAACTGATCATAGCCAGTAGCATAAATATAAAGCTATTATCATTGTACACCATTGAGAAATAAATCTAATTTATTTAATAATATTTGCATATGACCCATCCTCTCTATATACTATTTCATAAGATTTAAAGTGCAACTTTTATCGTATTCATTGGCCTTTCAAAAGCCCACTGCTGAGCAAAGGCCTCTTCTCACATGGAGAAGGTTTGACCATTAATCACCACGCTTGCTCAAGACGGGCTGGTGAAATCAAACTTAATTGTGAAATTATAAGTCCAGGTTTCCTCACGATGTTTTCTTTCACCCTCTCTCAGAAATTATTATAGAAAGTAATTATTTTTCACTCCAAAATTACGTATTATGTCGCCTATGGTTCGTATCACCGGATCATGTAATATTTTATTTGTTTTTGGTATATTCCGCAACTTAATACTAAGATTAAAATAAAATTGTAAGTGTTTATTCTACTTTAAATTGTCTTGCTTTCCCCATTTTCCGATTACTAATAATATTATACTCTATCTTTTGGAAATGTTTATTACGACGAAAATACACTTTGTGTCATCATACCATACATTTTATCAAAGTTAAATATAACATTAATAAAAAAACAAGCTTTAACGGATCGCTAATTCTTCATCAGATTAAAAGTCTGTTCGTTTGCCACCCTAGTTTTTCAGGAACGTATGAAAAAATAATTTATAGAATTAAAAAAATACCAAGGAAAACCTGTACTGTCCACATGTTTACTGACTTTAATTTAGTAATATTAAAAATTTAACAATTTTTTATTCTCCTTCCCACATAAGCAATACTAACAAAAAATAGCAAAAGTTTTTTAATTACAAATTTGCAGTTTTTATAACATTGATAACAGATACAACTTCTCCATTTAATATTGTTAGGATTTTTTTTTTTATATATTTTGGTAATTAACTATTCATTTTAGGAAAAGGTTATTGGAAACTGTGGGTTTAAATAAATCCATTAAATTATTTTATAAGAGTTTGCAACAAACTTGTGACGTTTATATAGAACTGTCAATTTTCGTAAACAATGTCACGACTTAAAAACTTTCTAAAAGAAATAAATGAATTTTGAGTTTTTTATTGTTGATATCAGTATTATAACTTATCTTTTCTAGAGGCACTTCTGAGTGGTTGATTTAAGGCAAAAATTTTATTATCTAACTCAATACTGATGCTACTTTTTTAAATTAATCTTTTATGTAGTAGTCAACAACTACTCAGTATCGTTGAGGAAATAGTTCGTGTCACATAACGTTACGAAATAAAGTAGAACCAGTTTTTGCAAACTCGCCAACGGTATGTTTTAATAAATGTCAATATAATTCATTATCTACCGGTTTGCTTTCCTTTCCATTATCCCTATATTGTTTGATTGAATTGATAATAATTGTGAAGTTACCTTCATGACTAACAATAACAAAGTGCAAAAGTCCAATTCCGAAATCGAGGTAAGTAAAGCAAAATTGTATATTGAATTACTTTTACATACTTTTTCTATGTGACCATATGGCAATTAATTATAGAGTTTTTAAGTTTTAGTCCATAAATTATGCAACTATGTAGATTTTGAATTATTATCATATAAATAAAATTTAAAATTATATGTTTTTACAGGGCTTAAAGATGCTTCGAGGATTGAGAATAGTAAGTTATTCAACTAATATAGACAAATAGATAGATTATTATAACAAAATATGTGAATATAATAACAATTATTTTCTTATGGTTACAGCTTGGACCTAGGGGTTCTATTTTGGAGCCATATGTTAGTTCCTTACGAGTGTCATGTAACTATACTTCAGCCCAACCATCAGTTAATTTGCAAAAATTACCACAACTTCCTGTACCGAAACTGAATGACACTTTAAAAAAGTATTTAAAAAGTGTTCAGCCATTTTTAAATGAGGAAGAGTTAGCTAAAACATCATCACTCCTCAAAGAATTTGAAGCAGGAGTTGGTAAACAATTGCAGGTAAAATTGAAATAAATTATACTAAATAATATTAAAAGGAAAACAGGTTCAATATTTAAACATCCTCAAAGCTTTTCATTAAATTTAATGATGCTTAATACATTTTACAGGGTTTACTGGAAAAAAAGAGCTGAAAAAACACCTAAATTGGCTTGAAGATTGGTGGCTGAACACTGCCTATTTAGAGTACAGAGACCCTGTGACTGTATATTCGAGCCCAGGTCTGGTCTTTCCATTCCAAAAGTTCAATTCTCAACAAGATCAATTGAAATATGCTGCAAAAACTATTTTAGCTGCTTTAGAATACAAGTCCCTTATAGACAAGTAAGTAGACAAGAGTCAAGACTACCAAAATAAAGTTATCCTATATAGTGTCTGCTGACAAATTCATAAAACTTGTTATAATGAACTCTTGAATTTTGAGTCGAAAAAATGAGTTTTAAACAGGTCAAGTTATTATTAAGTAACAATTAAACAAACATTGTTCAATGCTTTCATATTCATGAACCTATTCTTATATGCCTATTTCAGCAATAAAATTCCCGTTGAAATGATGGGTAAAAGTCCTCTAGACATGGGTCAATACAAGAAAATATTTGGTACATGTCGTTATACCAGCTGAGAAAAGAGATAAGCTGTCATTCAATGACTCACAATATATTACTGTTATTCACAACAACCATGTTAGTATATATTGATTATATTATTATTTAAAAATTTACTTTTTAAAAGTCGAAAAATTAATATGATTGATATCCATTTTTTCAAGATATTCCATGTTGATGTATGGGGAAGTGATAACCAAGAGATTGAATGAAAATCAAATTGTTGAAGCCCTTCAAAAAGTAATGGATCAGTCTGCAGAGATCACCAGTGATTGTGTTGGTGTTCTTACATCTGAGAATAGGGACAATTGGGCCAAGGCATATCAGCTTCTATGTAAAGGTTAGCTAAGACTTATTTTAACAAAATTTTCATTTTTTTAACATATTTGCATGTTAGGTATTGTTATACATACTTATAAAGATAATAACTACATTTACTATGTTAAAACATTTTGAAGAAGCAAAATTTTTATGTATTAGCATCAAATGTTTATAAAATTTAGGCAGAATAAATTATGACTAGTTTGATATACAAACTATATGAAAGTTAATTGTTGATCAATTTGTTTCAAACATTTATTTATTTGTTTTAAATAAACTTAATGTATTGGCATCTATATAAATTATAAGCCAACAATAAACAGAATTCATGCATTTTATGTTATGTAAGGGACTTAACGTCATAAAAAGGAGAAGTTTAGTAATAAATCTGCTTCATATAGCTCATACAAATAAACTTAAAGTTAAAAAATCCCTACAAAATTATTTGCAACTGACACCGCGTTTATTAATGTGGACATTTCGGATTTATAAACAAAGATCTCACTTACATCTAATAAATTTAAATAGAATATAAAAAAACCGTATTAAACATCGGAAAGTGATTTGAAAATAAAAAAGAAATATCCTATTGTTATAGAATCGGTGAACCAGTCGTCATTGCGTGATGTAGAGCGTAGTCTTCTCGTGCTATGTCTGGACAAGTCGGCCGGTCTGTGGCGCTGCAGCACTGTGGACGAGCGGTTCACGCTGGCCGCCGCTCACACCATACACGGCGCGGGGGCCGACAACAACGGAGCCAACCGCTGGTTTGATAAGACTATACAGGTGTGTACTGTGTAACGGCAGCTGATTTGGAGAAAATATTTTATAGTTTATATATAGTTTCGACATCTTAATGTGCTTGTATCGAGGCCTATGACAAATAATTCTGGAACATTTTTTAATAAGCTCATCAAATAACTCACCAAACACAAAGCAAATAAAAGTAGTTTATTTCCATTAATTTGCTTCGTTCCAACACAGTAATCAGGTTTAAATTATTTTGAATACTTATATAAAACCTTGATATAAGATATAGAATATAGTAATCATAATGTTAAGGTGAAAACTATAATTGTAAGATGAATCTATCAAAATGTTTATTTCTAGTTCATAGTCGGCGCCGATGGCATCACTGGCCTTACGTATGAAACATTCTCCCGCTGAAGGACAGCCCATTGCTGTATTAACAGACTTTCTTATTAAATACATGTAAGAATTGTTTCAAAACTATACACTCAAAGAAGTAGATATATTATTAAACTAGACTTTTCCTCACAAAGTTAAATAATAGTTTATTATTATTCAAAGTTATAATTGAAAAGTATTGTATTGTGGTCTCATCAAAAAATATTTTAAGCTTATTTTAATAACGCTTAAGGAACATCAGTCAGTCTTATTTAACTCGTCTAATTGTGATATAAAACAAAATACAGCCACAAACAGTAAATGTATTTTTATGTTGAATGAAAAATTACTCAATAGACATATTCACAATGACTTTGAAAAATCAGCGCTTCAGTAAATAAACTAATATAATTAATATTAAAAACTCGGTCATACTTATATTAAAAAGTATAAAATCTGCTTCATTAAATGTCATTTAATGAAATTTATGACAAAAATAAAATTTATAACAGCGCAGACAATAAGCCCCAGGACTCACCATCGTCTAGTCCAAAGGAAACCAATCCGTCTAAACTTTTAACGTATCATCAGAAGTTAAAGACATGATTAAAAGCAGCAAAGCAGAATTTAGACAAGTGAGTGACATTTTTTTTTTTGCCAAATTTTCTGTGTTGATGATGTACGATCTTTTCATCCTATTCTTAAACTAAATTTAAACTCTTTTCCAGACTAGCGGCCAACTTGGATTTGGATTGTTTCAAATACGACCGTTATGGCAAAAACTTTATAAAGTCCCAGAAAATGAGCCCGGACAGTTATCTGCAAATGGCAATGCAATATGCTTTTTATAGGTAACTTTGGAACAGATATTTTAATAAAAATTCCGACCCTGCCATCTACAGGGTGACTGGTGAATTACTATCGATACTTGAGGACGTGATATTTGACAAAATAAAAATTAATATAGGTAACATAAATATATAATAAAAAACTTCTAAGTAAAATTTACCAAAAGTTATGTAATTAATTACGCATCGTGTGAACACCCTACAGATTAGGTATACACACACACACACACACGCGCGCGTGCGGCGGCGTGGTGTTTGTATCAGCACGTCGCCGCACGCGTCCACCACTTGGAACAAACTTGGAAACGTGTCCACACTTTATTTATTTATACGGAAAAAAAAAAAAAATTTGGTCAAAAATTAAGTGCCTATTTTTTTTTACATAATTCGAATGAGAATCATGTACCGAGTATTCACCTTAAATATTGATAGTAATTCACCAGTCACCCTGTATATGCTTAGTGATGTAAAAAATTCAGTGTTTTTTATTATTTGCATCTTACTAGTTTTTTGTCCCGCGACTTCGTCCGCATGGACTTCAGGAATAACGCTCAGAGAGAAATGTGTCAAGTGTTTAAAACAATAAATGTGGTAAACTAACCGACAGCGACATCTATAGTATGCACACGTGACTTCATATGCACTACAACTGTTGTGCCTATTGCTATTTTTATAAAAATCCTCCAAAACCTTTTGCGTTTATAAACTGTAGCAATAATCTTGCATACTAGACATGCACTTTTTTTGTAATATTTCTCATTCGTATTGTGAATTGCACAGAAAATTGTAAAAAAAAAAAGTTGTTAAGGTACAGCCCAGTGTAACTAATTAAGCAATACAAATGACCTCTAAAAATGACCATTAAAAAAGGCATACAAGCGATTGAATTATTTTTTAAGTAATAATTAATTTCTAGCTTGCATAGACACCTGGCGCACACTACGAATCTCCGCGGCGACCCGTATGTATGTGGGAGGTCGTACGGAGACCATCCGATCGTGTTCCCCGGAGTCAGTGGCTTTCGCGCGAGCCATGTTAGACCCCTCGGCCTCCGCTAAGGTCAAACTGGCCGCCATGCAGGGACGCTATCAAAGCGCACAAAGACTACACAGTGCAAGTACGAATATCAAGGATTAAATCCAAAGAGCCATTTTTTTGTTTTATTCAAGTATTTTATATATTTTTTTATATAATTGTTATTATTTTACATAATATTTTAAAAGGCACTGCAAGGATTCGTGTGTCGATCGACATCTACTGGGACTGAAGTTGACGGCTATCGAAAATAAATATCGAGCTCCCGAAATTATATTCCGACCCCAGCTACGTTAGAAGTGCCCACATGAGGATTTCTACTAGTCAGGTATATCATTGAAACTTTTATAATTCTTATTCGTCTAATCCACAATACGCATCAGTAAAAATATGATAAAAATTTCCGTTTTCTATAATCCTGTTCGTATAACAAGTGGGGTCGATTCAAAAGTACTGAAAATCCGTTGAAATTCCGTACAACAGCCTCCTAGCAAGCTAATATATTTAGTCTTTAGTCGAAAACGCCTCTGCAGCAGTAAAGACGTCAACAACCAGGCTTGTGGCAGAACAAGAACATATCTTTTTTTGTCTTACGAGTTTGACATTACAATTGATTCACATCTATCCGCTATATAATCGCTATCCTTTTCCCTCGGAGATATTCAGGATTTAAAGAAGAAGGAACTAGGACTTCGTGATACTATTTTGATTCCATTTCTTGATCAGCCATTATGGTGATACAATATTTCCTCTTGGAGTCTTTGTATATAATATCCGATTATCATTAATTTTGACTCGCCCCTCGCATGTTATTTTTGTAATAATGTAATATAGCAAAAAAACTTTTTTATTTTTTAGTTTAGGTATATTGAAAATTTATAGATAATAATTCTTAATGATTCTTAATGGCTGCTAAATTATGTGATAGAGAAAAAATCTCTAACAAAATAAATATCATCGAAAACATATGAATGTTTTCGATGATATTTATTGTTATATGATATACATAATGTATAAATTGAACAATAAAGTATTATTTTTATTATAAGGTTGCGTGCCAAAGCCGATTGGATTTCATGTGCTACGGGCCGCTAGTAGCTGAATGGTTACTCGACGTGTTACAATCCTCGAGACACGAACGGACGTGAACTTCGCCACTTCAGCATTCACCGCTCACCCTGATACAGCGGCACCACGATACGAGCCGCATTGACGAAAGCCCTTACATGATATGCACGACCTGCTACTACAAAATACACGATCTAAACTATAATATGGTCCTGCTCACGTCGTCTTTACATCGTATTATATAATTGGATTCCTTAATTATATATAGTTCCAGAATTGGTCTTATTAATGTATATAAAAGTATTTTTCTGTATATTGTATATAAAAAAGTATATAAAAAAATATTTAATAAATCAGGGTATAAACAGTCTATTGTGTAAAAAAAATAATTAAAACTTGTATTAAACGGTTATAAACTCTGTTTCACTCTAAAGCATAATGGTTTATGTAATATATCATTAAAATGACACTGCCACCAGGAAATTATATTATCACCTGATAATAATTAACCATGTAAATCTGGCCAAAGGATTAAAAACTGTGAACAGGATGTTTTGTTTACACATGTAAATACATATATAATTTGTTATTTCGGCATCGACCTTAAAAAATTTATATTCATTAATATATTTTGTATAATGAAACATTATTTATCTTTTTAATACTCCCCCATATTATAAGTGTAACATCATGTAATTTGTAAAACACATTTAATTTAAATTTTTATGAAAATAGTTTTTAATCTTAGCCCATTATCAATGCAGTATTGGCTATAGCTATTGAGAACACCTTTTTTGTCACTTTATTCTATTTTCGCAGCCATTTCGCCATAGATGGATAAAAAAATTTAAGGATAGAATAAGAGTTCCACTTGAAAAAAACTTTGTAACAGATTTTTTTTATGATTAAAAAAATAAAAAAAACAAATAAAACACAAATTATTGTAATCTATAAATAATGATATATTAAATTAAAATTTTCATTACAATAAAATAATTCCAGTTAATGATTTAAAAAATAACACATAACAATTTATTTAAATACAAAGATTTTATACAGTGATACAAAGCTAAAAGTAGAAAATAAGGAACAACATTGTCCATCATATACCATTCATTACCCTCCACTGCCTTGTAGAGCAAAAAATAAATTTTCAACGCCATTATGTTTAAAAAAGGTAAAACAAAAAGTTATTAGGAGTAAAAAAACGCGATTATAAACAATGCAATTGTGTTTTCAATTAATTAATATAAGCTAATTATAACAATCACACTCTTTACTCACATTTAAATTGACTTGCAAAGTGCAAAAATCAGTTTTGAAAATGCTTTGTAAAATTTTATTTGTAATATTTTTTTTTTATTTATTTTATTGGTATTCAGTTTTTTATCAACATCACATAGTTGATTAAGTACATGCTAAATATTTATTTGAACTGAACATTAAAAACCTTTTTTTGTAAAATATTTGTATTTAAAAACTTTAAAAACTGGAACCAAGACAATGCTTTCACCAGTGCAAAAATGTAACAATGATTCATTTGAACAAGGTTTAAAAAAATGTTATTTAGCATTATTGTATCTTTATAATAATATATCAGCATAACAAATTTAACACCACGCCAGGAATCGTTACACTAGGAAAAAACACATCCCAAAATATAAACCAGAAAATACTTTTTCTCCTCCATAACATTTAAAATCATTGGTATGCTATAGATACAATCCATTTAATATTAACTTTATATAATTATATTATATATATGTGAAGTCACCTGTTTCGTCACCTTTAGTATTTTTCCTAATGATTATTTTTTACTGTAAAGACTACTATTATTACATGACATTTTAACTTACATGTAAGTTTTCCATAATAACCCCAATTATATGTGGAATGTGAATGAGATTAGTGTACCCATTATTATTAGCAATACTTTGCATAAAACAACACAAACACTAATTACAAAAAATTATAACATAAAAACAGTAATATTGTGTACAGATATTTACAATACATTACAGATATATCAACCCGCTCTACATGTGTCAAAAAATAATTTTTATCATGGATATAATTACAGCAGTTATAAAAACTAATATACTTACAGCTTAAGATAGTGTGATAGTGTGAGGGAGGGGCGGTTTAGCAGGCGCAGTTGTCGTTCTTTCTTAGCCGGAGGCGCGGGCCAGTGGGCGTCCTGTAGAGGGGGCCCCCATGCAGGTTTGTGTTGTACACCCGACTCGGCCGCAAATTCAGATCTAATCGACCATCTTGAATGCTACTGATATAATTTTTTTTTTGCAGTCTCCAAGAATGCTTCTTCAACATTCTGGCCACTGGAAATATTTAAAAAAAAAATCAGGAAATTTGACTTTATCATACCAATGTTGTATACAATTAGTGAAGTTGGAAATGTTGACAAAAGCAGTACAATAATAAATGTATGTATGGTTAAGTTTCTTTAGTCATGGGAGCTGCCTATATATTTAAAATTATAAAATACACATGTATTGATACATAACCAAAGAAAACCACACAAACATTCTGAGTGATCCTTACGTTTTTAGCACTGGCTTCAACAAACATCAAACCATTTTCATCTGCAAAACTGCTTTGCTTCTTCATATGTTACATCTCTTTTGTCCGTCTAAATCGGACTTGTTGCCGATAAGAAATATCACAGTGCTGGGGTTAGTCAGAATTGCGGGTATCTGTTAACCAGCTACTTAGGTGATTGTATGTTGACCTAGATAATATAAATAAAAAACTTTGTAAAAGGATTATTCTTTATGATGGTACACTATATAATTTATATAACTTCAACGAAATTATCATAATACTTCCTGTTATATGTGTAAAACTTACCTTCTTGTTATATCATATACCATATCAGGGCTCCAGCAGCTCCTCTTTTTATAGTATGAACGAAGTCACTGCTCTGAAATCTCTCTTGACCAGCTGTGTCCCAAATCTGGAGCTTTATTTTTTGGCCAGCTACCTCAAGTTATTCTAGTAGTCCCAAATTCTACACCAATAGTATGAGGACAATCTGCCATAACTGGTGAAAAATAAGATAATAATAAATTGAATTTAATATATTATTTACAAATAGCATATAGATTTGGTTTAAAGGTTTATTGTGTAGGGATTTTGTTTTTTAATAATTAAATACTCACATTTTTTTTCTCTGGGTGAACTGATGTAACAGGGACATGATTTTCCAACTCCCATATCACCAATAATTATATATTTAAAAATGTATGAGTAGTTGTATGGTCCGGATGACATTTTTCTGTAAATAAAATAATTCAACATTTTTCAAAACTGAGTTAAAATATGAACAATAAGATAAGTTTAGACTTGTAATGTTAAAAGGATTATTTGACCTAATGTTGCCAATATAAATATATCCCATACTTACACAAATAATCTGTACTAAAAATAAGCTAAGACGTAATTGAATTGTGTAAGGCAGTAACATGCGAAAGTAGGTCTAAGTTTTATTATGACTCAGGGCTTCTAGGAATGCAAGTAGTATTCTAATGAGGATTCAGGCGTCTGTATAAGCAAAAACACTAGACAAATATTATTATTGAAAACAAAATGAAAGTTAAAAACACCGAGAGTACTGCCCATTAGCGCATCACTATTAAAGACCCTAGACGTCTAACAAAAATTCAGGCTTTTCCTTTGTTAATGTTGTTTTTTTTTTTTGGTGAGTGGCATTTAATTAGGTCACAAATCATTACAATAAATGTTACTTACAATGTTGATCAACGTCGGTAGGAACTGAACTAAGAATTTGTTGCAAACCTTATTAAATTAAACCTTTTTGTTTAGGTTTGATTTGATCTTTGCTGTCGAAACTATAAGTGCTCGACGGTTATTGGCCAATTGGCGTGTACAGAATTAATAAAGCAAATAAAAAATAATAAGCTAGAAAACGCCAAGAAATATTATTACAAAATGTAAAGTTGATAGAAGTCTAAAAAAAATCCAGGTTATAAATTAAAAAAATAGAAAAATTACTAACATGATACTCATCGGAAAGTTTGGTATATTATTACTGAAAATAGTATTTTCTATATTCTTTTTATCACTGTGTTAAAGGAAGCATAAACTTTATAGAACGAAGTCAAGTGATATCGCCTCGTGTATCCTGAGCAAGACTATACATATAACAAATTTAAAAAAAAGATACATGGTAATTTTTCAAAATTTTATACATAAATATGCACTAGACGAAACTTTGTAATATTTTTGAAGGTTTTTTAAAAATCGGTTATAAAGTACTAAACACCTTATTAATTGCTTGCAAATGTGCTCATCACTATAATAGCGAATCTTAAAAATAAATTAAATTTTATGATTATTTAAATTAGTAGAAGCTTTAAAATCATTTTTGTAACTTTAATAAATTCAAATTTAATTCTTTAGAGGACCAAATAGAAAAATAGCTATTTATTTACCTATTCTTTACAACATGACAAGTCTTGTCAAAATTTTATGTCAATAATAGAAGGAAACGATTAGAGGACTATATATTTTAAATATTTCAATTCTTAACACTCCAATTGTACAATATATCTGAAGCGAAAAAATGCTGGCACTGCATGACATAAACCGAGTGAAAATGGGACACGTAGCATCTAATATGGAAAGAAGAGTAATTGATGAAGACAATGATGAGAATGTTTGTGAAGGTAAAATATTTTGATATTTTTTAAGAATCTTGTTTCTTTATAACGTAATATGAATATCTAACATTGCAGCATCATATTTTCATGTGTGTTGTTTAAAATATTGCAATTTATATAATTATGCAAAAAACAATGATGTGGGTATGAAAAATAATTCTCCAAACCCTTGCATCTTTTATTTGGGAAAATAAATAATTTTATTATTTTACTAATGTTTTTTAGAGTATGATGTTCTTAGACTCAAAACTAGATGAGCTCAACCAAGCGTTGGATCTGCTGGAACAAAAAAACGGGGGGGGGGGGATGAGGGGGGGGGTGGAAACATCCAATAAAAGGTTAAAAGGATTTATTACAGGCCAACAGGGACATAAGACAAGAACTCAAAACATGAAGTCATGGCCACAGAACAAGACAAGTGAAGCTAAAAAAAATAAAATCATTTTAACACACCTAAATCTCCTTTTAGAAAGTAGTATAAATTCTGTTTTTATTAAAACATTCTAATGTAAAATTATTTATATAAAGGATATTTATATGATTACATATTTCTTCTAAGATAGACATTACTTTCATTTCTGTGTTTATGAGTGAAAAACAAAGACATAATGTAATTTTTACTTTTAATGTTCAATTTTTCTACATCCGCAAACACAAAATTTTCGTTAAAGTTTTTGAAGCCAGCAATTACTAATGTTGATTTTTTTCACGAAAATCGTTATGTCCACAGTAGCCACAAGAATGGTTGCCAGGTTTGTCCTGAAAAATTAGAAGAGTATGAGTGTGTAAAAATCAATAATTCAATGTTTAAAAAACACGATTTATGTATGGTTTTGTTTTATTAGAAATAGTTTTAATGAGAAAAGATAAACATCAAAATAAAACCAAATAAGGTTTAATACCAAATTTATATAGACTCTTGGATGGCCTTCTGGTCGCACTGCCCCCATCACACCAGACTACACGTTCAGTTACACTCCTTTTGGTGGGAACTTGAGCTATCAAGTTTACAGCCCCAATTATTATTTTACTTGCTTTGGAGCCAGAGTAAATCTTGCCAACCTGTAACTCATTATCCTCCAATTTCTGCAAATTTTTTTAACTTCTCTTGTAGTATATCACCATAATTTAAGTACTAAATTGTAGTTATTGTATTACAATTGTTTATTTAGAAAACATCATACTTGCCTGTATGAGTTAGGGAACATCTTCTGATTTATTGGTTTATGCAACGAATTGTTAAAGAAATTGATCGAGAATTAACAGAGCCCACGAACTGTCTCGCTCTTATTGCTGAAATCATTTTAAATTCTAACTTGGTTCACTTAGATAAATAACAGATATATTTTTACGCTTTCTATACTAAAAATAATAAAATTTTAGGATTAACGTCAAAATAAAATAATACTCTTTAGTTTGACAAATTGACATTGACAAATTAAATATGAGTGTTTTATATGGCAGATCATCCATATTAAAATATAATTTTTAAGGTTTTTAATTACAATGTATTATTAAGATGGGTATTTGATAGGTTAGGTATATATGGGGACCCATTTCACTTAAATGTTTGATAAGCTTCCATTCCTGAATTTGTTTCAGTACTTGCCGAAAAAATATTTACATTCGAAAGTTGTCTGTACAATTTAAGACTACAAACAGAATAGGATAAATTTATGCAACAAGATAAAGACAAGTAGTAGTTTAAATTTCACACTTAAATAGAAAAAGTAATGAAAAATTCATCGACCAAAAGTATGATTGACCTTCAAGTTCTAGAATATAACTCGCAGTCATAATAAATAAATAAATAATGCAAAGTAACGTTGCTTTCCATAAGCACTCCAACTCGACAAGATGAAGCCCGGAGCAATGGGTCCTCCCCAGTCAACCGGACTTCGACTCATGACGAAACAGTGAGTGGGCATTGGAGGTTTTCGTGGGTAATGGCCGATCGCGCCTTTAGGGTCGAGCCCACCACACGAGACCCCCCTCGTGTCCACAAATTGGCCCAGGCCACGGGAAGATCCGTAAAACGGATTCCTCCAAGTAAAAGAAAAAGTAATTCATATTTCATTAGCAGTAAAATTTGCCATGACAAGTTTTCTACCTAAATTATATGTCTGTTGGAGAGAAACTTCGCAAAAATACTAGTCACTCACATTTTATCTTCCTACTCTTCCCTCATCAAGTTATATCGTTTTAAATATGATCATGACACTCTGTTCTTGGGACCCCTCTTTTAGAATATATAAGTATTAAATTACCACAATATTCTCTCATCGTTGTCAAAAACTTTCAATTTGATATTATTTACGACTTATTTATTTTATATTGATCAATAATAATTATTTTTATTTAGTCAATCTGTAATTGGTAATTAATTTTTCTGTAAAAAAATGTTTTTTTGTTAATCATAAACTTCACACTTTCATTACCAATTTATTTCTTCCATGTTAAAAGTCGTCATTTCTCTGGGATTCAATTTTAATAAAACAAAACACTTAAATTACCAGTTTTTTATTTGCCATGATTTTTTATTTGATATTATCTACATTCGTTAATATTACAGCAATGCAAGTAATAAAAGAATACATGTAATAATAAATTTTAATCACATTCAGCATTTCAATTTACAAAAAGAACATTATAAAGACAACGATGCCGTAAATAATATTAATTGCTGTTACTTCTAAAACCTACCATTATTTTGAATTTTATGATTCCTACTGTAATTTATATATATTCTTACAATACTAGTAATATTATTCTTAGATCTACTCTTAACATAACAGAAATGCAAGTATGGAGTCAAAAGTCTAAGTGTTTGTCTATAACATCATTTTCCCCAGAGATCGCATGAAGTGAAATACTTCTGTTTGTATTTCTACTATAAAAAAAAAAACCCATTTGCATGGAAGAGAGAAATATACGTAAATAAGACACACAAAAGTGTCATACATTCATTGATCATTAAAACATTTAGTAGGTCCGCTCAATAGCTTGACAGATTAATGTTTTAAAAATATTGAGAAAATATACAATTTTCGAGTTTAATGAGTTTTTTTTGAAAAGTTCGCAGTCTTCTTGTATTAAATATACACAAAAAAACATCGTCAATCACAAATTATTTTTTCTGTTGGTTATACAATTTTTACATTTTAAATTTTTATATTCAGAAACCAACTGTACTGCAACTAGATACCTCACCAATTAAATTTTTTCCATATTATACCATACATATTTAGTAAAAATAAAAGCAATCCAAAAGTAAAAAAAAAGAAATATAACATTGATATGTCATCAAGTTCAACAATAATTAAAATGATAAAAATGTATACAAATTTCAACAAACAATCCAAAAAAAAAATTTAAAATTAGGAATTCAAGTTTTACTGCCTCGTTTCTCGAACGCGTTATTCTATACTATAAAAAGTTTTTTAGGTGCCCACAATAAGTTAAAAAAAAGAAAAAAAATATTGCATCTAGTGATCGTTGAGTCTGTTGACTGCCGTCCGGTGCTGGAAACCTCAACTCATCACGTCGCGGTTCCATAATGATTCTTCGGAGGATTTACGCCCTTTTTTTTCCTATTTGCTCTTCGCCCAAAAAGTCACTACCAGATGCATCGCCTAAGCCATGTCCATCATCGATGGAAGTGTCGTCCTTACTGTCAGTGTCTATAACGTTGTTAGATTCATGTTTTTTGAACATTTTCAGCTTGAATATCAACAATCAGGAAGGGCTTTGGATTCTTTGTTGGGGCTTTTTCGTCCCTTTCACTGGACGTATTCATCAAGGAACCAGAACCATCAGTTGCGACCGATTCATATCAAAATCACTCGCTTTTCATTGAGCATTCCTGCTGTTTTAAATAAAAAACGTCGATGGTGCAATCAAGTCCTCTAAATCCATTTCTCCAGTATGTTTGGCGTCACTCGGTTTTATCTATAGGCTTAACAGTTTCTGATGAGTTATCTTTAACCTTCTTCGGCGGCGTTGATTGCAAAGCTTAAGTTTCTTATGGTTCATTACTTATGCTCATTCGTCAATAGTTTCTTTTATGAGCACTAGTACTACTTTCGTCACTAGTCATTCTCATGTAATCTGATTTTACAAGTTTTTCTCGTATGATTCTTTGTCTATATCTTTTACTTTCTTCGCTTCATTTGAACTAACAAAGACTTGCACTTAAATGCTCCTGATGCCATTTGTTCTAAAAGCATTTTACTTATATCAATATCCCTTTTTGTCACCCTTTCAGCAGTTTTTCTTGAACAGCGGCAAAAAAAAAAAAACTCCGGTGGCATTTGAGATCGCGCTGTATCAAAAGGAACTTTTTTCTTGTCTTGTTTTAGATAAATCGGTAGCGCCTGTATCGTTATTATTCAGCCTCACGTGTTCTCGCTATCACCTTTCATGGCTGCCTCGTAATTGTAGATTTTGTTTGGATAGTGATTCCCAACAAGTAGGGGGTCAGGTGGTAATAGGATTTGTGGTAAGTGACTGGATTGGGTGCGGGTCTGATACTTTTTTGTTGTCGAGATGATGAAGAATTCGTCACAAAACTGTCGATGACCTTGGGGCGGTGGTTCGTCGTAGAGCTACGTGAATGAGTTGACCCATGCATTGTAGAAGATGCCGGAACTGGCAGCCAAATTGCCACTTAATAATCCTAGTGCATTTCATATGCAGAGGACATGGCCAAGAATGGACTCCGAAAGGTGTGATAAGCCACTAAGTCCTAATTGAGGATAAAGCATATTAGGATTAGGGAAAACAAAGGGAAATTGTGAATTAGCCGATTTTCTGAGGTCGAAGTACTTGCTGTTTCTGCTGGTTTTTCGTGTTTTAGATTTACTTTCTGTAGAATTCCCACCAAGACTATTCATTGATCTAATGATGGAAAACCTGGAAGTCCCAAACCAGCTAAGTTTGCAAATATATTACCACCTGTTATATTTTCCAAGCAGATTTGGCATACTGCTAAAGGAATTCAGCAAAGGATTGTTTTTTCGGGTCAAAAACTACTGAGACTCGATAATAACTTGGGATCAAAAACTAGTTAAGTTAGATAAAGTTGCAAAGCCAATGTTTTTGGATCAAAAAGCATTTAAAACTTGATAAGCTAGCAAAGAAGTGTAGGATTTTAAAACCTGCGATGTTTTGATTTAAAAATGTGCGTTAGAAGAAAGTATAATTAGTAAGATGCTGAATCAAGAGTAGGTGGCCTGCCCTTTTTACGTTCAGGTGCGGTATTTGTTTGTTTTGCATCGGAGAATGTCTTGGGTTTCTAACGTCTTGGTGGTAATTTTTTACGGTGTTCTTTTTCATTCTTTCAGTCCATTTTGAATCTATATCATACATAGGGTTTTCAGCGATCCATTGAGCTAGATGTTTTAGTTTTGAGGTGCTTTGTGTCCAATTAATCTTTTTTCCTGTTTACTCTATGAAACAACAGGTACATGTTTCATCTGGTGCCAAGGCGAGGGTGGGCAGTCCACGTCTCCGGGTGTCGACATTATTCTGTTCGGCGAAAGCCATTTATTAACTTTTTTGCCTCGTGTGAGTAAGGTTTGGGCGTTGAAGATGTTGAGGGGGCTTTTTGATTTTATTAGTCTTTCCAGAGACTGTTTGCAAAAACGAAGATATTCTTTTTTGAAGATGAATGGCCGGAGACGGTACATTCCGTTACAGTAACCGAGAATGGTTTCTGGGGGCCCTCCCAGGGCGGCGGGTTAGAAGTTGCTAGGCGGAGCAGCCGGCGTAACCGTTACCTCGGGTAATACTGTTGAACTCTTACTACGCGGAGTCTCAAACGGTAGTGCCGAACTTGGACTTTTTCCCTTAGCCGCTGATAATCCTAAAAAAAAACTATTTCTCATCCAAACTTCTTCCTCTTCTTCTCTTTACCCACTATTTGTTCAAGGCGCAGGCTGTAATATAAATTCATGATTTATAAAAATTAAGATTTTTGAAGTGAAGTTCAATAATTTATATTTGATATTAAATATGACAAAACTTTACCACATTTTTTTTCCTTTTCATAAGTTTCGGAAAGAGTATCGTCAAGTCTACTCCTAACAGGCGTACATGTAGGTGGAGGCGTCTGCTTGCGGAGTTCTTCGTCCCATTGAGAAATCTTGGGGCCTCGCTTAAGTCTAATGGGTGCAGAGAGATCTACGGGGGTGGAAGAGGCCGGTGAAGGTGCCGCTTGAGCAGTTGGTGTGCAGGTGAAGTTGCCACCCTTTGATGGGCCGGCGGCGGAGCGGGCGTTGACCTGCGGGAACCAGAGTCGCTGGAAGCATCGTCGGCGTTCACCCATAGTGGGCGGAACACGATGCGCCTCACGGAAGGAAGCGGTGTGAAAGCTGCCTGTGGTGAAGATAGTAATGCGTGTAATTTAGCACGTTCGGTTTCACAACGTCAATGGCTATATGACGCTTCTGGCTTCTGCTTCTTGCGATCTTCGGATTCTGATTGTGGTCACGCCTGAATCACCTACTTTGGGAAAAAACGCTTGCCGACGATGCGGAGGGCCACTTTTCGCAATTTTGAACCGCATGAGCAATGTGATGTAATCGGGTTTCAGCGAGCTCTCTCTGTAAACCAATGTTCTGGTGTCAATGTCTCATCAATTCTTCCTAATTTAGCTAGAGTCTCAAAGTTCTGATAGGGCGTCTGTGTCATCATCACGTCACGATCCAAAATGCGTTAGATGTTCCGTTTACTTCGTCTTTAATGACATTCTAGGTTCGGAAGTACTTTCGGTTGTACTTTTATCCTCATCATCAGAAGTTGTTATTTGTGTGGCTGCTGGAGTTGGTTTTGGATTTTCTACTTTCGAAGTCGATATTCCTTTGTAATTTTACCATACCACTTTCTGGCACAATCAGCAAATGGTAGTTTCGGATCGCAGAAAAAAATAGTTTGTTTATAGGTATCTCCTAATCCGTGCCTGTAATTTATAATGAAATAAAAAAATATTTAAACTTCTTGAAGAACTAGTGGTTTTTTAATTTTTTACTATGTATAAACGAATAAAAAAAGGTGAACATAATATAAAAAATGACACGGTTTTACTTACTTGCACACGCCCAATACAAGTAGTTTATTCCATGTCTGGCGGGCTGCCACCAGGCTGGCGCGTCTAGAGAGCGCTCGCACCAGTGCTAGGGGGGGGGGACGTGCCTCCAGTGCTGGATGCGGAGCGACTTCCTCACGCAGAACCCGAAGTAAGTCAATCCTCTCCAACGTTTGCGGATGGCACGTTCTTCACCGATAGGTTCTGCTTTTTAAGTCTGCCCTTGTTGGCAATTCAGCCTCCCCAAAACCGACAGTCCAAAAATTGCCGCTTACCACATTGCCATAAAATGCCAAAGCGTTTGAGGTAATCTGTTAGGACGAGCATCATCACTCTTAGATTCCAGTCGTGCCAACGATCTAAAAACCGGACTCCACCGCAAACTTTTTGTTGGCCGGATCGAATTCAACGCCATAAGATGCCACTGTTCCGTCTAAAAGCTTCCTCATCTGCACGGGACCATCGGGCCATTGAGACATTTCATCTCGAGCAAGTTGATCCATACGTTCGCGACGTTCCATCTATAACAATATTAATATAGATTAGTAATCTAAAGGTAGTTACTTATACTTATTAATTCAAAATAATTGTGTGTTAAAAGGATTCTATTTAAAAAGGACCTGGACAAGACAATTTTCATGGATAATAATAAGCGCTATCTAATTTTGTCTCCCCCCCCCCCCCCGGTAAAACATTCTTCAGAAAAAAGGTACAATAAATCATATGTTTATTTTAAAATATGTATTAATAAAAATTTTTCTATGAATTTCTATATATATGTCATACTTTTAGCTCTCTGCTTGCAGTTTGAGTTTCCTCTCCCGTTTGTAGTTGCGCTGATATGCGGTGATGAGTCTTCGTAAGCGTGTGTTGAGGTTCCTGCATTGAGGGCCATTTTAGATTTGCGGTGGGCCGTGGGTCCGTCGTCGTCACCATGTGGCGAGGAGGGCGAGGCGGCGGGCGATACAGCCCCCCGCTCCACTCGATAATTCATCCGTACATTCCTCGTCACCGGCGGCGCTGCCGAGCAACCTTACGTTCCTCCTCCAATCTAGATTTTTAATTTACTAGGGTATTAATCTAGACTGAATGTAGCAAACATATTGAAATGTTTGAGGTTCGTGTTGTTGGAGCAATACTAGGTATAAATTTTGAAGTATGCATGTATTATTTTTATTATTTTATGCTTTTTTCCAGAAAGTTTATATTAAGAAAAAAGTTCTTTTTTTAGATGAAATGAATATAAAATATACATAGAAAATATAATTATTCTGAATAACTATGGTAAAATAAAAAAATAATTTATTAATTATTCCTTAAATTTTTTACTTTATATACTGAAAAAATTTTAATATTCGTTATTTACACAAAACAAAAACAGTTAATAGTCTATGTCTCTGTCAAGGTTATTAATAACAAATCTTACAGAACCCAAAACATTCTGAATTCACAAGTATGTATATCGCTGCTCGTGATATGTATATCTATATAAACATTTAAGCAAATTATTAACTTTTAACAAACACTACTTTACAACTCACCTTTATAACTAAAACTTTATCTTTAAGTATAAATTATATTTCACTTCGGTCGCATTTTCGGAAAAAAAATTAAACATTATCAAAAAACATGAAAATTCAGAATAAACTACATATACAGCATTGAATATAATTCAATGACGTAAATTTTATTTTTATAAACATATCAATCTAAATAATTCTTACGTTAACAATTATATTAAGAAATAACATCATTGTTTCATATCAGTACGTAATTCCATCACATATCAGTATATGGTATATTAGAACAAAAAGAGAAAGTGGGTTATTATACAATTTGTGACAAGCTGAATTATGTGAAAAGCCGTGGGTGCGATTTGGATGAATTCGTTTCTTCTTTTATTATTACTTACAAAACCAAAAAAAAAGCAACACAAAAAAATATATAAAACCTAAATATAAAATTTTGACCAAGTAACATAACAAATCGATAAGCCCATACCGAGTAGTCAAAAGTTCTCACGTCCACTTACTTTATGTCTGTACATTGCAGCGTCATCGGGGGGGGACCCAACTTGTTCTACATAGCAACAATTGTGGGTCAGAACGCATGGCGAGGTAGTTTCGTAGCCGTGTTGGTATGTACCCACGAGTAAGCGATACGTCGCACTCGGTGTCCCACCACACGCGAGGGGGGGCACTGTCTACACCGCGGGGCACTCGCATACCCATCGAGCTGAAAGAAAGTTTTAGTTAACAAATCTAACCCGATGACAAGACTAAGAATGTGACCACATCAATTTGTCAGTACAACCGGAATATGGAAGAGACCCTTTAAAACCCGGCCTATCAAATTTTGAGGGGGAAGTCGTTTACCAATAAATTTAATAGATGGTGCGTAAACCCATTACAAAGTCAATTTTATTTAATCTTATATATAACACTAGTTTACAGTATATCTGTTGCCAAAGAAATTTTAATTGTTTGTTGATTAGATATATTATGCCATTTCCAAAAATGTAATTAGAATATTTTTATCAGCTCTAGTTTTTGAGTTTCAGCTTTACAGGAATAAAACAGAAAAATAAACGTAATTACTGAGAAAAAATACTAAAAGAAAACATATTTTAATCGTTAAGTTCTAGGAAAAAAACTACGTTTTAAAAGCTCTTCTCTGATGTGTAGCCTTTAGAAAAATGACGTATCAGAGACCAGCAAAAATAGTCAGGGTGGGGGGGACCATCATATTTCGTATCCCATAAACTCTGATAGCGCTCTTCCGTGATGCTTAAGTCTTGATGTGGCTACGGGTTTCTTTGACCCCTTTGCTTCCTCACTCATAGGGCTGTCAATGAATAAACGCCAGTCGTTGTTATAGTATTGTTTCAAGCAGATTTTTTATCAATAAATGGTTTTTAATGTCTGAAACAAAAGGTAAAATCCGTTTTCCTTCGGGGAAAAAAATAACATCGTAATTCTTTCTCTCATTGTACGATAAAAACTTATTTTAGTGTCCGAGGAAAAAGCAATTTTTTTTTCTTTGAGTCTTGATGCTAGCAATTATGAAGCTTGTTTTGAAAGATATAAATCTCTAACAAAGATCATCTAACTCATTTTTTTTAGTCAAAAAGCATTTTGACCTCTTTGGGGATATACTTTCAAATTCGCATCAATTTTTGTGATGTTCTGGTCTTTTCATGTCTTGTTTCTATGGGTTCCTGATACTTTTGTAGGCACTGAACAGATAGATAAAAAAAAAAACGCTTCTGCACTGGACGTTGAACACAACTAAGTACTGGGGTACAGCCATTTAGCCGATTTTTTAGTGTGTTTAAAAAAAAAAACCATTTAAGTCCACTCTACAAAAAAAAGTAAGGAAGTCTTTCGGGGGGAGATGATTTTGTGGTTTCTCGCCGAATAGTCGGTTGTTTCCAAAAAATTTAAAGATAGTTCTTTTACCATTTTTCAATAATCTTAAAACTATACCACACACCTTTTACAAAACACAATTTGACCCCTAAGACTTGTCAATTTTCATCCAGGAGCAAAATCCCAAAATACTCAAAATAGGTATTATTTTTTTCCACCCAACGGTGATATAACTTTTCAGTATTTAAAAGACACATTGTCAGCAAATGTATCAAAAATGATCTGGATAGTTCAAACAACATCTCCTTGAAACTGCTCATGACAAAAAAAACTTTTGATTATTTTATCTTAAAACACTAAAATAAGGGGGACTGTTATCAATTAATTTATAAGCTTAAATTGGGGACAAAAAAACCAGAAACAAAAAATAAATAGAGCTGATGGGGGGGGGGGGGGGGGGGGTTTTTTTGCTCAGAAATTTTGAAGGTATTTTTGACATAAAAAACAAATCATCAGTTGACACAATATCAACCATTAAATTTTTGCGGGGGCAACAAAACAAAAAAAAAAAGTTAAATTTTGTAAACTAGTGTAATTAACCACTCAAACTTTCATTGTAAAATTAGTGTAATTGCAACAATCGATTTTGAAATGCACCGATTAATATTCAATAACTATCGTAGTAGGGGGACACCCTTCGCGCCGCTAAATCGACCTATAGCTTTTGACATGTCGTTCTTTTGGGCAAACCAGAGAAATATAAAGGTAAAAATAATACAAAACCAAACTATAGGTAAGACAAATAAAAATATCGGAATTGTCTGTCATGCTGGGGGGAACAAAACAGTCGTATTTTACCCAAAGCAATTGGGCAAGTATCAAAGTAAGCAAAAATAATCAGATACTAAGGTAAATATTGAAACAAATCCAAAAACACACATTAGTTATGTAGTTACATGATCTTTATATTGCCAATGGAGTATGATCCAAGAGAAATGACAAACTGTTTTAGTAATGCGTCAAAATATAATATGTTATTAGTTTAATAAGAGTTTTAATAATATTTAATATTAATAAAACAGTCAAAGAATTTTAGTATTTTCGTACAATTCTATAAATAATCCTTTATATTTATATAGCAAATGCAAAGCATATATTTTGAATTTAAATTTTTATTTTTCAGGCAACTTTTTTCCCATTATTTATTTTCACTTAGTGATTATACTGTCAAAACAGTATTCAATCCTTACCTTGCATGAGTTCCACTTTCTATTTGTAGAGCGTAGTCCCCAATAACTTCATGTTTTATTTATAATACATCATACGAACTCGCAGTAAAATACTCTGAAAAAATATATTTAATGGTTATATACCATATTATCACGCCTTTCCATATATCAGAAAATAATATTATTGTGCCGAGAACTAACTTGTTAGCGTGTCAAATAAATGTTTTTTGTAACTATTTTCCAAAGTACACACCTCACAATCATATTTATCAATCGAGCTCCAATGATTTCAAATCTTCCCATTTCTTGTGTGTCGTGAGCCTTTGGTATGTCCTTCATTCTGTTTTTCTTCCTTTGCATTCTGCCGCGTGGGGACGGGGTTATGTAAGCCACTATGATTTCTTGAGATTGTAACTTCACCATTCTCAACCATGGTTTCAATGACCCCCCGGGGTCCCAAATGAAATTCCTTATCTTTTTCATCACCCCTTGTAATGGCGTAAACAATACAGAACCTGTAAACAAATAGATTTTAGAAGATCAGGACCGATACCAATTATGATATGTAACATATGACTGTTGTAATTAGTCAGTGCTTTATGTACATTCCACTCAGTGAAAAACCTACGTTTCCTCAGTATTAGCATGGCAAATCATCATGAAATATTTAAAAAAAAATTATTTTATTTTTTTATTATTATACAAATATTTTTTCAATATTAAATACACTCACAAATAATGCGTGCACAATCTTCTACGACAGGCGAGCTCCATCCTTTTCTAAATTGATTTTCTTTCCAGAATCTCTTTCCCACCGCGCCAATCTGCATCATTTTATAAAGTACATGAATACAAGTTTACTTAAAAATATGTACAAAATAGGCAATCATTTATTTACATGACATAGTGTAACACAAAACTTTACAACAAAATTAACCGTCTTCTATAAGAAATGCAAGCTCAACTAACGAATTTAAATCTCAACTTTCACAAACATATTTTGGACAATAATTGATATACCAACTATGTAACACACTTGTAATAATATCTTACTATCTTTAATTGAGTTTGGTCCAAAAAATCTGGCGACTACTTTTGTATTTTCACTTTTGTATGTATATTCTCATGTAAGTGACTATGTTTTTTTGAGAATAAAATTCTTTAAACCTAAGTAAAAAAAAAATTTTTTTCCGCTTCAAAAATAATAAGATATTTGTATGTCTTACCCAAATGTAAGTAGACCACGCTCTTATCTTAAAGCATTCAGATCTAGTCCAAGAGCCATAAAACCACTTCGTCGTCAATTGACAAACCTTCATGGCGCGGCACATATTCATCACTGGCATAGCGCCGACCTTTCCTGCCCAGCTTTTTCTTTCTTCCCTTTTACTTCTAAGGCTTATACCTGTGGATATTTTATTTTATTGTCATGTTTTTATTACCATACTTGTTTGTATATTTTTTAACATACAACACGTGATAGGTCTTACCTTCCTCGTCGTCTTCTGAATCTGGTGTAACCTCCATGTCAGACATTTCCATGGGACCATCGTCATGTCCGTATCTTTTTAATTATAGTTCTTTTCCTAGGTTCTGTAACTATTAAATCTTCATCTTCTTTCTTTTCCGTCGTATCAATCTCAGCTTTCTTTGCCCACTTATTCCAAAAATCTGGATCCCTTATATCAATGTCTGATCTTTGATCAGTAGCTGCAAAACTTGCTTTTGAAAATGTAGACCCTTTTTCAGATTCCATTTGAATAACTTGTGTCCTGCGAGCCAAAATCATTTCGATGTCTTCTTCGCAAAATTTATCACCGGCATTATCTTCATCCATAACGGCACCGTAAGCCCCTTTCTTCAAAAGATCCTCGATTTCTTTTTCGACAACTGTTTTAAGCCTGTTTCTTTTCCTTGAGAAGTATTTCATACTTTGTAAAATAGCCTTATCAAGTCCTAATTTTAGAGAAGCTTTATCAAACATTTCTCTTTCATAGGTATTTCTACATATTAATCGATATATTTTAACCATCTTCTGTTGTCCTATGCGATGACAACGGGCTTGCGCTTGTAAAATCATTTTGGGGATTCCAGTCACTATCATATATAATAACAGTGTCCGCAGCCGTTAAATTAATTCCGAGACCCCCAGCTTTAGTACATAACAGAAAAACAAACCTATCTGAGTCTGGCTTTGAAAAATCTGTCTATAGCTTCTTGACGTAAATTGCCTCTTATTCGACCATCGATTCTTTCGTAAGGATATTTTCTAAAAACAAGATAATCTTCTAAAATATCTAGACATCGTACCATTTGACTGAATATTAAAACACGATGACCTCCAGCTTTTAGTTTTGGCAACAATTTGTCAACTAGAACCATTTTACCAGATGAATGAATAATAGCTTTGTAATACGCTTCTTTTTTATCTTCACCATTGGCTTGTTTATAATCAAATTGAATTTGATCTTCTGCACCGTTTAGGAGATATGGATGAATACAACACTTCCGAAGCTCCATCATTGTGTTCATTAAATTAGGAATGTTCGCAGCTGACGCTGCTCCTTTCTGTAAAAAGCTAAAAATTTCTTTCGAGTATAGCTCGGTAGTATTTCTTTTGAATGTTGGTTAATTCGACTTCTATAATAGTTTCTTCTTTTGGCGCTAAAAGTTTTTTCAACGTCTTCTTTAAGACGTCGTAACATCATTGGTTTCAAAAGCGCTTGTAATTTAACTACTTCTGATTCCGTTTTAAGTTGTCCAAATTCGTTCAAGAAAGCTTTCACTACTAGAAAACTGTGACGGCTCCAAGAAATTAAGTAATGAAAACAGCTCATTGACATTGTTCTGTAGAGGTGTTCCAGAGAGCAAAACTCGATGTTCCAAATGTAGTTGTCTCAATCCTTCTAAAAGTTTGCAGTTTCGATTTTTAAGTCGATGAGCTTCGTCAATAACACAAAGGCGCCAGTTAAATGATTTCAGCTCTGAAAATCTGTAACTATTATTTCAAAAGTCGTTATCAGGACGTTAAAACTTGGTTATCTCCTTAATAGGTTCACCTTTTTCATTTTTATAATAGAATTCATACTCTTGGATCATGCTTTTTGCTTGGCTGAGATCCATGATATACGACAACATTCATTTCAGTCCACCCTTCAAATTCTCTTTGCCAATTAGGAATAGTAGACAAAGGAGCTATTATAAGGAAGGGCCCTCGTATTCCATATTCCCACACAGCATTAACAAACGTAAGACTCTGGATAGTCTTTCCCAGACCCATCTCGTCAGCTAATATACAATTTCGGTTATTATGCCAAGAGAATAATAACCAATTCAAACCCTCCAACTGATACGGTCGTAAACGTATTGCCACCTTTATATAAAGGAGAATCTTTCAATTGACACCATTGATCGGCGCAAGGCCTTTTCTTAAATTTCCATTTTTCTTTTGGTGGAATTGCACTAAATATTTTGTATTGTTTTGATTTTATCAACGTCTATGTCTTCTTCGAGTTCCCATGTGCTATCTTCATATTGTAAAACTTTTCCATTTGACCAGGTAATGTTTTACAACGGTGTTATTAGCAGGGTCTTGTATTTCTGACATATCTAAAATCCTTTCTACTTCAACATAGTCAGGGTTTAAAACGGTTTCATCGTCTAGTAGATCAAATATATTCAATTGTTGAGCTTGTTTTTGCTTTACGTTAAAAAAACGTTTAATTTTGGAAAAAATTCTCTTATCACCCTTATATAACTCTTCTTCAGTTTTCCATTCACAATGTAAATATGAGAAGTTTCTATATTTCACAAAATATTCTTCCACATCCACCATCACTGGCTTTGAGTTTTTATTTTCAACATTTTCTTGTTGCTTATTTTCTCCATTACTCTTATTTGCTTCTTTCGTTTCAGAACTCTCATTTGGAGTTTCCTCATTGACTTCTTGGATATTTTCGGTTTTCTTTGATATCTTTCGATTTAATATCCTCATCAGTTTGATTTTCTACGTTTTCACTTTCATTTTCATTAGCTTTTTGTTCTGATTCTTCTTTAACCTGAGGTAAAAGTTTTCTCTCCCAATAATGGTTCGTTTTTCATTTCCCTTTTTCCCATTCGAGATGCTAATACATGCTGAACTATCATAGAATCTTCTTCAGTTGTATTAACATACATATAATTCGGTTTCGGTGTTCCTTCCGGTCTTATTGGGATCTTTAGTGTCAAAACTTAAGTCATCCAAATCCCTTTCAAGTTTAGGGGCTGCCATTGAAAACTCATCATCTGATAAACGCAATAGCACATCATCGGTATATTTTTTCCGTTGTGTATTTCGAGCTGATCGCCTCTTTAAGCTGTCATCACCCTCTGGCGGAGGTGAAGGGTGGGGGTGTGGATATTAAGTCATCAGGTTCTCCGTCAGAATCAGGAAACTATCCCACCACGACGTTTTCTTTTTACCACTTGGCGTTCTTTTGGCAGTAACTTTCTTGCAACTTCCTGCCAGCAGATGATCTTTTCTTTGAAGCTTTTTTTCGTTGATTTGAATCAACAAAGTCATCATCTTTTTCAGATAATTCTTTCTTGGCTTCAGCCTCTTCCAGTAAATCTTTAATAGCTATTTTTAGACACCGGAATATCATCAAAGTCGGTAACATTTGAATCATTCCAATGATGAGAAATCTTGAGACAAAGTTTGAATTTTTTTTACACCCTCACTAATACTAGAATTTTTACTAAAAAAGTCTGGTCATTGATATTATCCAGACTGTCTTTATCTAAAATATCATTACAAGTAGTAGTATCAGCATGCATTTCAGTTAAAACCCTTTTTAACATTTCTTTTCCTTTTTGGTGCATTCGGATCTTTGGGCTCCCGTTTCTTACGCTCTTTTATTGGTTTGTCTCCCATCTCTTTTCCATCTTTAGGTTCTTTAGGTGTACGTGGTTTTCGTTCTTTTCCTTTTCTAGGTGTTCTAGGTTTTTTGCCTTTCCCATTACTATCATCTGCGGAAAAGAAGACTGCCGTCTAAATTTGGTAATATCTTCACTTGTAACATCAGCATCTAATTCTGAATTATTAAGTAGTCCTGTGCCTGCCGTAACACAGTCTTCCGAAACAGGTAACTGGTCAAGAGGCTGAGAAAGAGTAGAAATTTTGTCTTTTTTAACCCTTGGTTTTCTTGGTTTTAGCAGGACCTTTTCCACGACCACGGCCAGTTGTACTAGTAAACTTGAGGACTTTCCACCATTTTCGATCCATATATAGGATTTTGTAATATACAATTAGGTCCTCCATTACATTTATCAGCTGTTTCATGTTGTTGAAGCATAGACAACCTTTCTTGCAAACATCTTACTTTTTCTTGATTCTCGTTTGAAGGTGGTTGACAATATATTTCTTGAATTTGTTGTTGTAATGTTGCTCTTTCTTGATGATGAGATGCTGGATACATATTCGGATGTGGCACACTGTTAGGGTTCATCATCATCATATTTTGATTAATATTATGGGGGACATTTGATAACACATTCCCTTGATTTGGAGGAATGTTAGGACCCATAGATCCATGCATATTTGGCGTATTCAAAGGAATTCCCACTTGAATATTTGGCATGGGTGCAGCTGGACTCGGTTGTGCAGTACCAATATTTGGAGGTGCGTGAATCGGTGATGGAACATTTCCTAAAATACTTGGTACAGGCGAAGGCATCATATTCATATTACCTTGTTGAGTATGAAGAGGAACACTTGAGGACACAGTGTTTGGCAAGTTTGAATGTGGTATTGCATGACTTGTTTGTATATTATTTGAAATAGGAGGTGGCACATTTGATTGTGAAAAACACTTTGAAAATGCTGGAGGATTAAGATTCTGATTGCTATGTATGCTTGACGGAATGCTTGGTCCGAGGCCAGGTGGGACTGTTTGTGGTAGAATATTTTGCATATTTGGAAAGGAAAACTATTCTGATATCCTTGACTTCTATTTACATTTACAGGTTGAGAATTCTCATATTTATTTACAATTGAGTTAGATGCCAATGTTGGTGGTGCTACAGAAATATTTCCTTGCTGAGATGTAGGTGTACTGTTATGTGGTTGATCATTTGTTGTATCTATTTTAGCAGATGTTGGGGCAGATGCGAAGTGTTACTTCTCATCAACTCGTCATTTTTGCTGCTTTGTCACTTCAGTTTGATTAATTTCTATGTTATTGTCCTCTTTATTAAGAGAAATGTCATTACTCTTGTCATCTTTAGCAGACCCAAAATGTTCAAATATTCCTTCATTGTTTTGTTGATTGTTTTGAAGTATCTTCTTTTTTGTCCTGATTTTCTGTAGGAGCTACAGTAGGAGTATTAGCCACAGAAGTTGCTATAGTAGAATTACTAGGGGGGGACTATCGACCATAGAATCCTTAGCTATAGGTGGTGTCATAAATCTTAGAGATGTATTTTTATCTTCTGATTGCCTCTCTGGTTTCTGGTTGATTTTTTCTCAACACTTTTATTTTCAAGTGGTGTTATGTGCCCAGGACTTGCTGAATCTTGTTTTAATACTGGTACTGGTGTCGTATCTAATGTTTTTACAGGTTGTTCTGCACTTTCCATGGGCACAGAATTGCTTATAGGAGTAGCCATTTTAGTTTGGTTCCATTGAGTCGGCGAAGGTATAACGTTATGGCCCTACAGCCCGGTGATGCTGGATTCCTCTGGAATGGATAATCTCCACTACCAGGCAAAACCATTTGTTCCAAGGCTTGAAGCGTATTTTGTGATGAAAACGAACTAGACACGGGAGGTGGACCGGCAGATGGTGGCGGTTGGGTAACACCACGTGGAACTTAATGGAGACGCACTGGGTCCTTTTACAGGTGACATTACAGGTCGAGGTGATAGTTGCGACTGGGACTGCGGTTGCCTAGGCGAAAAACTTGTGCTCTGGGCGACATTTGCGGCGACAATTGAGGAAAGGGTGGCCTGTATTGTGGACTTCCAGTTTCTATTCCCACTAGGTTTTACAGAGCCATATTGGTTGGAAACATTCACATCAAGTGGATGTTGCACCTGATGGGGTTGATAATTCATTGGAACAGAATGATGAGGTGATCCATATGGCATTTGAGAAGGAACTCCATGTGCGGGACCAACAGCAGAAAGATGGTCCTTGAGGCTGACGAGGCACATGATGTAATGGGGGCGCTCCAGGATGATGGAGGTGTGGATTTGGATGTCCTTGAATACTTGGCCCCAGTCCACCTGCATGACCAGGCATATTTTGATGAGGTTGATGTTGTTGGATACCACCATGACTTTGTTGACTATGTGGTAAACCATACTGATGGGCATTTACATCAATCTGTTGATGATAAGCTGGATGTTGTGAAATGTCTCGTTGCAGAAGGAGGATGCATTTGTGTGTAATTTGGATAGTTCTGAAAAAAAATTACAATTATGATAAATACGAAATAAATTTGTTTATATAGTGTCTTATTAAAATTTTTATTTCAAATTACCTGTTGTTGCCCCATAAATTTGTTGTGATGAAGGTTGGGGAAAAAAATGAGGCTGTCTTGGAATGTATGTACCATTTTGTGGTTGCAAACCGCCTAACCCAGCAGCCTATAAATATTTAAAAGTTGAATTATTATAATTTTTATCATTTTTTTTACTATTAAATTTAAAAAATGTATGAAAAAAGCAAAAACATGTATTGTAATTTTTTAAATAATGCATTTCATTGTTAGCATACCTGTTGAGGAGGGTATTGGTGCATTTTTTTGTTGATGTTCATATGAATGTCTGTAACCTGGTGTAATAGATGAGTACCTATTAGCACCAGGTGCACCAGCCCAGGACTCCCATATCTCCAATACCTGCACAGATGTTTAAAAAAAAAAATATTATTTAATCAATCAAAATCAACAAATCATTCTTTCTTAAAAAAATAAATGTTGCCAAAAAAAACTCACCTTGTTCAGGTAAAGAATTACATTGGATCTGGCCCAGGATGATATCCGAATAAGAGTGTGATGGATGCACATGATGTGATGGATGGAGAGGCCCATGTGGTGGTTGAGGCAGCCTGGGCCTCGGTGGGATAGCTACCATATTCATGGTATTCAGGCCCAGGAGGTCCGGTACCAGGATTTGGCACTGGTTGGGCACTACTAGGCAAACCAGTAGCACTTCCGCCCCCCAAACGAAGCCAGCTTTTGGATTGTTCCTTCTTGTTGCACACTATTTGGATTATAAGGTTGCCTGTAACTGAAGAGAAATGATTAAAAATCATATAAATACTATAAAACTAAAGATAATAGAAATGTTAAAAAACCTATTCTCTGATGAATCTTTATTGTCTGTCACTCCAGATGCAGAACTACCAGCAAAGCTATCTGATCCACCAAGATCAGTAAGTCCTTCCAAACATACCGCTTCCATCATCCCCCAAATAAATTATATGAGTCCATCACTCACTTAAGAGTGAAATTAAAATAAGAGCATCGTTTAATATTCCATGGATAAATTAGATCATCCATTTTAATCTTGAAAATGTAAAAGTACATTAAGTTGAAACACTAGTCTTCGTAAATAAAATTTATCTTATAATAACATATCTAAATAAAAATGTATAAACATTTAATTTGTTAATATATAATTATTACTAAAGGTAACACAACACATTTTGAAAGGATTACAATACAAAGAAAAATATTAACACATTTTGATAAGGATATACTATAACAGAAGAATAATATTAAGTTGCTTTCACATCTAACCACCCCCCAACAACAGTAGCTGTTTTTCATTATATAACAGTAAATGTATAATTCATACAGTTATTTATATAATTTTAAGCAAATAATCTATTATTTATATTTTACAGTACAAAACCAAATAAATAATGGGTTCTTGTGACATATTATCCATATATAAAACTTTTAATAACATTTAATTATTGATAAATTGATCTTCCACTAGTAATTAAGAAACCATTGATAAATATTTACTGTAAAATAAAATACTTAATACTTCATTACACTAAAAAAAAGTAATTTCAGATAAGTCTAAAGAGCTGTGAACTAAAAAATTATCAAAATTATAGTTATTCAGTTTTACAATTATTTTTTTATTCACTAAAAAAAGTTATAATATTTGTACAGTCCCAAAAAAATTTTATAAAAAGGTTCTTTACAATCTACCTAAGTACCCTAACATAAAGCTAAATTATAAAAACTTAAAAAAAATTAAATATATTTAATTACAAATATTTTTTGGGGTATCATCAGTATCACTACCACTGACTGTAATTGTTTTATGAGCAATAAAAATATTGGTTATTTAATATTTTTCACATGCATATACCACTGAGATTTTATTTGGGGTCCATTACAAAAAGATCTGGTGTACTTTTCTTGATTTGATATATTCTTTTAGAAGTTCTTTGCTTGTATAAACCAAGGGGAAAAGCTATTACGCTTATGGTTTATAGATACATACAGCGTATATAACTTCTCCCGTTAGTTATAAAGCATCTCCTAGTTATGATAATCCTCATTGGTTACTAGGCGACCGAAGTACTCGGGATCCAAATAATACGTTTTAAAAGTAATCCACACCTAAGTTATAAAATAACATATCTAAAACATAATTACTCTTTTATCAGTAATGTAGCTTTATAAAAATAAGAGACGTTCAACACTATGCATTAACTCGAAAAAAAAAAACACATCCAAAAATATTTTAGGCGTGTTTTAGTTCCATAGCGTCTAAATAATATTTATAACTTTATCAATAAGATAAAGCCCTTAGTACACTGTAAAACGAGAAATGATTATATTTTCATAATATGTTAGTACTTACTGTAAGCGCCACACAATTGTACGATTGATCACAAAATGGGATACCATTCTTCTCAAAAAACCGAATAATATAAGAAATCAAAATAAAAAAAAAAAACAAGTCTCTGATTATACTATCTTAAATAAACTGTGATATTGATAGTCTATTTTAAGCTTTTGAGATTCCCAAGCAAAAAAACTATTTGCAAAATTATCTCAAACAATAATAAGATCTTTTTAAACGTAGCCACTGCACCTCCCACTCCGTCCATTTTGTTTCCCCTTTGAGAGTTTAGAAATTGGGAAATTGGACTGTAACACTTTTTTTTAAAAAGACGAAGATTCAAAAAGTATGAGCCAACCTAAGTTTATGTTTTATCGATGGTTTTATATTATTGCATAAAAATATATATTCTGCTGTATAAAATACAGCATGATATTTTTTTTTATTTATAGGATAATTTTAATTAATTGCTTTTCTTAACATAAAAAAAATTTAAAAAATTGATGTTAAAATTAATTTATGTGAAAACTCATATATTTTTTTTTAATAATAATTAAAATTGAAAATTTATATTTACCGAAACTTTATCAAATAATTTATTTGAATATATTTTAGGAGTTACGTATTATGCTTAATAATTATTATAAATATTCGAAAATTTTTGACGAATTTCATTTTTGTTAAGGGTTTGCCGTTACATATTTAACTAAGATATCAATATTCAATTTCTAAGTTCTTAATGACTACCAATGTTAGTTTAGAACATATGAAATTAGTAAAATTACTCAACTACTTAAAGTAACCCAAAGAGAATAATATACAATCCATAATATATCAATAGAAAGCGATTTACCGGTTTGACATCGATACTTGTGTCTTGTAATGATATGTAACATTCGATTGTAAAGTTTGGAACTTGGCAGTTGGTAGACAGTTCTGTAAAAACTGTCCGCTGTCGTGTGTCAATTCAGCATTGTTTGATTTGTGCGTCAGTTCTTATTATAATCCTTAGTTCTGAATTATAAAGGACAGCTAAAGGTTTTATAATAAAAACACATAAAGGATTACATATCAAATTTTAAAGAGAGAAATAGAAAAGAGTTTTCACATATGTTGACGAATTATAATAACAACATTTTAATCTACTTCTCGTTTTCTACATTAGTCAAATATTTTTAAATATTTTGTTTATATCTATAAACTTAAAGCAATCACTATAAAGACAGAATAATAGACCGTTTTCCAATGATGAAGCTCGTGGATCAAGTTGTTAGAAGCTTTAAGGTTGCAAAAAGGTATTTCGAGAAAATACCGACAAAATAAATAGTATTGACTTTTCACCTAGTGGAGAAACTTTAATATCTTGCAGTGAGGATGATCAAATCGTTTATATATGGACTGCGAAAAAAAAACAGGCACGCAAATGATCACAGTTAATAGTAAAAAATATGGAGTTGATTTTGATACATTTTACCCATGCAAAAAAAAAAACACTGCTATTCATAGTTTCAACAAAGGGTTGATGACACCATTCGATATTTATCTCTCCATGACAATAAATACATCAGATATTTTCCTGGCCATACGAAAAAAGTAGTAAAACATTATGTTTATCTCCTGTGGAAGACACATTCTTGTCTGGGATCTCTAGATAAAAAAACTTTACGTCTTTGGGATTTTTACGTTTCACCGAATTGCCAAGGCTTTGATGCATCTGTCTGGGCTCGACCTGTAGCAGCATATGACCCTGAAGGCCTTATTTTCGCGGCAGGTGTAAACTCTGAGAGTATTAAAACTTTATGGACTTAAGATCATTTGACAAGGGCCCATTTGTAACCTTCAAATTAAACCAAGAAAAAGAATGTGATTGGACAGGGTTAAAATTTCTCTAGAGATGGTAAGACAATGTTGATAAGTACAAAAAAAAAGGATCTATCATTCGATTAGTGGATGCATATCATGGCACAACCATTACAAACCTTCACCGGTCATTTGAATAATAAAGGAATAACCGATAGAGGCATCTTTCAGTCCTGATTCTCAATATGTATTCAGTGGATCAACAGATGGTAGAGTTCATGTATGGAATGCTGACACGGGATACAAAGTGTGGTGTACTCAATGGTGACCATCCAGCCCCCAATACAGTGTGTTCAATTTAATCCCCAAATATATGTTACTGGGCATCGGCATGCACTAACATGGCATTCTGGCTACCAACAATAGATGATGTTTGATCATAAAAATATAATTCCATGTGTAAACCTTATCATTCTAATTATGTTTAAAGTGATTTTGAAGAGGGCTATATTGTTTGTAAAAAAACATTATTACAATTACAATTTTTATTAAAACAGTTTAGCCTTACTAGTTCAAATTTGACTTAACAAATTGTAGTTACATTCCTAATGACACAATCCAAAAATATTCTAGAAGTGAAAAAAAATATTTTTGATGTCTGTTGTAATATTTGCCAATCTTCATACATTAAAAAACTTTTTTATAATAAAACAATGTAATTTAGTCTAAAATAATGAATGTGTAATTTAAAATTTGTTTTAGTCTTGTATTTCTTTTTATAAAACTTTATTCTTAAATTTAATTTAAAAAATTTACTTCATACACAATATGATTTTTGTTAAAAATACATAATTCAAAAACACTTTTACATAGTAATTTTAAAAAAAAAAAAAAAACCCTTATTGTTTGAGATGCTTTTTCAAACAGAATGAAAAAATAAAAGTAATGGAAAAAGTACTTTTAAAGTACTATATCAGTTACACTTATACAACAATTAAAGTGCCCACAATCAGATACATCTTATTAAAAAAAAAAAAAAAAAAATGGCAACAAAAATATTTATAATATTTTATAAAAAATAAAGTTATGGAATGTATCTAAACTATTTATTAAATTGTTTATGAGTTTCATATCCAAACTGACCATCAATATATTTTTATCGAAATTTCAAATTTAATAAACAAAACTGTTACATATTTCATAAAAAAGTACAAAAACTTATTAAATAAAAACGTATTCAATTTGACACTACCACCATTGACAACATAATACTCCTATTTTTTTTTTTTGTCCTTGGAGATCGTCACTTTAAAACATTAGTGTTCCCGTCCCATTCGTAGTATCAGCTCACATTTTTCTTTAGTTGTAAAATTCTTACATATTAAGATTAAAAAGCAATTTAACCTCAAAACATTATTGGAAAAAAAAACTTGCTATGATGAGGACGGACATTTTTATGGAAAAATTGTGAATCATTTATGATCTTAAAAAACGAGTTTAGAGTACATCTCGAAACTTGTAAGGTGAAAGAAATAAAATTTAAAAAAAAAGTTACATATTATCTCTAATATAACTTTTGAATCAAAAAAATAAAAAAAACAATCATTAATATGTAGTAATGAAAACAATGAATAATTTACATTATAAATTAAGAATAATCTCTTTTTATATATAAACTTGTTGGTATCTAGTGCCACCTAAATATTTTAATTATTATTAAAAATATGTGCAAGAACTGTGTTTTATTAAACTCATACCTAGTCTATAATTTGTATTAATAAAAAAACGTATCATATAAA